TGATTAGTCCAAAGTTACCCAGTTGGTTTTCATGCTTAATATGGCACTAGAACTCACTATCTCCTAGTGATTGGTCCAAAGTTACCCAGTTGGCTTTATGCCTAAGGTAGGACTAGAACTCACCGAGCCAACTTTCAAGCAAGAGGCAGAACTAAAACTCAAGAGAAGTTAAGCTTTTTTCACTGACATCCGTCTCTCTCTTTCCTTCCGGAAGGTTGAAAAGCCACACGCCATCCTACTGCGACGAGACTCTCTTTGGGTCCAAGCCGGGAGGACACGAATGGACAGCCTCCTGGGCCACCAGAGAAGATGTGGCTAAACTCCGCCCTTTGCTCTGGACTCCGCCTTCGGCTCCAAGAGACCGGCCAGTCCTTTTCCACCGTCCACCGAAGGAAGTGGTGACCTCCACGGGGACGGACAGATTTGAAGTCAACCACAAACCAGGAACCTCTTTTTGGAAGCCACCTGACAACTCTTCAGACGTGGCCACCCAATTCATGAGAAGGCCACGTTCCCAGTCTCTCACCAGACTGTACGAGACTTCTGATCGATTTCCCCCAGCTAGGTCCAATAAACAGCAGGACCAACGTACGGCCACTGCTTCTTCGGGAGCACTTCTCACTTCCCGTTCGAAAGGGTTGCCCAGTTCATCTGCTCGGACAACAAGTTCACGTCCAGGGAAACCTCCTTGGAGGTAGAACAGCCCAACTATAAAATGACAATGTCGACAGCATATAAAGAGAATTTGTATAAGATGTTTTACAGGTGGCATTTACTCCCGACGAGGATAGCCAGAATGTTCAAGAATAAATCGGAGAAATGTTGGAAGTGTCATCAAACTCCAGGATCGTATTACCATATGTGGTGGACATGCGTGGAAGCAAGGAGATTTTGGACTAAGATACACACGTGGTTGGAAAAAATGACAGAGAGACATATTGACCTTAAACCAGAGATATTTTTCTTAGGGATTTTACCAGAGACATTTAATAAAGGATTACAATACTTAATTGTGAACATTTTAACAGCGGCTAGAATTGTATTTGCTAAAAACTGGAAAGGAGAGAAGATCATTACTGATGAAGAAATTATTAAGAAAATGTTGGACTGTGCTGAAATGGGTAGATTGACATTTGAAATAAGAGAACAGGAAGATAAACAATATTATTTGATATGGGAGATATTTTATCAATGGTTTGACAATAAAGTATGGAGATGAGATAGCATATATGAAATGAAATTTCGATGAAATGTTTAAATATTTATCGTCTGTAAAGAATAATTGTCGTATGATGAGATTTGGAAAATTGCAAGCACGAAATTATTTTAACCGATCGAGATGCTGTCTATAATTGTTTGTAAGGATGATATTTTTATGTTGTTTTTTATTTTAATTTAAAATAAAACTTTTTTCAAAAAAAAAATCAGTGTTTAAAACAAAGACAGGTGGAGCTCAGCTGGTAGAGAGAGGAATGTTTTGGCTTCTGCTTCGTTGTCATTAGTGAATAAATGGCAATGGGCCAAGTTGACATAACACATTACATTATATAAACAAACAAAAGCACTTTTTTTTCTGTGCCTGTTTGGCTTATTGAGCTGTGTGAATCCAGATACTAAAAATCTAATTAATTAATTAATTAATTTATTTATTTTTTCTTTCTTTCTTTCTTTCTTTCTTTCTTTCTTTCTTTCTTCTTTCTTTCTTTCTTTCTTTCTTTCTTTCTTTCTCTTTCTTTCTTCCTTCCTTCTCTCTCTCTTCCTTCCTTTCTTTTCTTCTTCCTTCCTCCTCTCTCTCTCTCTTCCTTCCTTCCTTCCCTCCCTCCCTCCCTCCCTCTTTCTCTCTCTCTCTCTTTCTTTCTTCCTTCCTTCCTTCCTTTCCCCATTCTGCTTTTCTGGAATAGTGAGTGGGAAAATAATTTTTTTCTAATGACAGATTTTTCTCCTTTTCCCTTTTTAAACAGATGGCATCTCTCCTGCCCACCAGAAGGAAATAATAATAATAATAATAATAATAACAGAGAGAAAAGTGACACCGGCAAAGTGTGAAATGATAAATGATAAAAATTCTTAATTTATCCTGGCGGGTGCAAAAATCATATGTCAGTAGGAATCATATCTCAACAGGGAATCTGGGACAGCCGAGAAGGCTCCTACAGGGTAGTCCTCGACTTACGTCCACAAGTGAGCCCAAAATTTCTGTTGCTAAGCGAGACATTTGTTAAGTGAATTTTCCCCATGTTACTTTTCTTGCCACCGTTGCTAAGCGAATCACTTAACAATGTTAAGTGTTAAGTTAGCAAGACGGTTGTTAAGTGGGATAGTTGTTAAGTAACCCGGTTGTTAAGTGAATCTGGCTTCCCCATGGACTTGGCTTGTCAAAAGGTTGCAAAAGGGGATCATGTGACTGCAACGGTCATAAATAGGAACCAAACTGCCAAGCCTCTGAATTTTGATCACATGATTATGGGGATGCTACCAAGGTCGTAAGTGTGAAAAATGATCCTAATTCACTTTCTCCAGTGCCGTTGTAACATTGGTCACTAAATGAACTGTTGTAAGTTGAGGACGATCTGTATTTGCAGCCTTCCATCCCACTCGGTTTTATTTTCAGAAGCAACTAAGCTCAGAGAGCACCAATGACCCCGCAGTTCTCCTCTTCCTCCTCTCCTCAAAACCCACTCCCTTCTGGCACTGAGGATGTTACCTAGTATGGTAATGAAACGTCTGCAAGAAACCCACCAAGCTCAGAAAGCACCAAGGACTCTACAGTCCTCTTCCTCCTCCTCCTCCTCCTCTCTGCAAACCCTCCTCCCTTCTAGCACTGAGGATGTTATACCACCGGTGAAATGCTACCGGTTCGCACTGGTTCGGGCGAGGCTCCGCCCACCCACCCAGACGTCGTTACTTCCCGATTTTAACCAGGAAGTAACCTGTTTTTGAACCTCTGCGCATGCGTGGAAGGCTTTGCGCGTGCCCAGAGGGTCCAAAATTGCACGTGATGCGCACACGCACACTTCTGAACTGGTAGGGAAGTTAAGTAGATTTCACCCCTGGATGTTAGTTGGTGAATGAAACGTGCATGAAAACAAGCAAGCTCAGAGAGCATCAAAGACCACACCGCTCTCTGGGACGTTTCTCCCCTTTCTACTCGAGACGAGTTGGGGAAAATGATTTTTGACAGGTCTCCCATCTTTTTTTAAATGATCAACTTTATTAAAGGACATCCCAGAACCTCCCAAGGGTTCCTTCCCTCTCCGAAACTGCCCAGAACGGCCCACCCACCAAAATAAGATAACGGCCAGAGATTGAGACTCATCTCCTGCCCGTACTCTTCTTCCCCTTCCCCTTCTTCTTCCTTTTGCTGCGTAACAACGACCTCACTAAGTAGCCCTTCCACACGGCCTGGATCAGAGTAGCGGCTCGCGCCAGGATGGCCAGCTCCTTCTCGGCTTTGTCCTTCTGTTCCTGCTTGACCCTCCTCTCCTCCACGATCTGGCAGTATTCCTCGTCCAGCCGGGTGTATTTCTCCCGCAGTTGGGCCAGATCCTGCTTCTCGACCACGTAGAATTCATCGATCTCGTCGATTTCCTCCTTGGGGAGAGAAAGAGTCGACGCGTTGAGTTTTATGACCCCTTTTATTTTATTTTTTTATTTATTTTGCCACGGTTGTTAAGCAAATCGCAACGGTTTTAAGGGGAACCCTGGGCTCCTTAAGCAAATCCACCCATGGATTTTCCTTGCCGGAAGCCCAGGAGTTTACAGATGAACAGAGTTGGGGTCAGCAACCCGCAGCTCTGGAGCCGCATGTGGCTCTTTCATTCCTCTGCTGTGGCTCCCTGTTGCTGGTTGGCGCCACGATTTTGAGAGGAGTTTTTGGTTTTGGGGGGGGGAAGCATGGCGTGCCAGGAGGGGTGGGTTTTCCAGTTGGCTCCACAATTGATAGGGCTTTCGGTTAGGACAGGTACAGGAAAAAGGACACCGCACTAGGAGGAGACTCTATGGTGGGGGAACCGGACTTCCGGTCGGCTCCAGGGCGTGGGGTGGGGCTTCCAGTTAGGACCTTTGTGGCTCTTTGAGGATTTAAGGCTGCTGACCCTTGATTTAGACCCTACACCATTTCTGACAAATGGCAGTCCAATCTCTTCTTGAAAGCTCATGATCCATCTCATCCTGGATCTCACCCTTTTTTTGAACTATTACCATCTGGCAGCCGGTACAGGATGAAGAAAAAAAAAAAAAAACCAGGGACAAATAGGCTGAAAAACAGCTTCTATCCCAGGGCAATAACCGTATTGAATTCTACAGTATAGTGCAATATCGGGTTTTCAATTTCAATTATATAGAATGTAAAGGATGTATGCTTGTGTTTTTATTTTTATAGTTATAATGTACATGGAGGATGGCATTTAATTTCATTGTACCATGTGCAATGACAATAAAGTAAACTATAAATTATAAGATGGTTTCCAGGCCTGATACTCTCAAGAGGAAAATACCTTTTTTTTTTCTTTTAATCCCTCGCATCGGGGAGAAGTTGGGGCCATGAAATGGCGTTCAAGCATTTACTGGCCGGATGCCCTTCCTGACGCCTATGTGGGGTTCACAGCAGACACTAAACTCATAGCACCCAGATAGAGAAACACCTGCCACTGTCTAGGATCGAACCCACAGCCTCCTGAGTATGAGGCAAGAGCACTACCTCTAGGCCACCACACCGCCATTCTCAAGAGGAAAACAGCTCTAGGAGGGGAAAGGAAAGAAGCTCATATCTTACCTGCTTTTCAATCATTTCCATATCGTATTTTTGGACCCAATTTTCTATCTCCATTTCCACCTTGTATTTTTTCTAAAAGGAGATAAGATTGCAGTAAAAAAACGGTCAGTTCGGCAGGAAAGGTTTACGATTCCTGCCTTAAAGGTTGGGGACGGCTGCTGTTGGGGATTTCCCCAGCCAGGTTGTGTGAATGTGTTTCATAGATTAGATTAGATTAGATTAGATTAACAGAGTTGGAAGGGATCTTGTAGGTCATCTAACCCCCTGCCCAAGCAGGAGACCCTACACCATTTCTGACAAATGGCAGTCCAATCTCTTCTTGAAAGCCTCCAGGGATGAAGCTCCCACAACTTCTAAAGACAACTTCTGTTCCATTGGTTGATTGTTCTCACTGTCAGAAAATGTCTCCTTATTTCTAGGTTGAATCTCTCCTTGTTCAGTTTCCATCCATTATTCCTTGTCTGGCTTTCAGATGCTTTGGAGAATAGCTTGACCCCCTTCCTCCTCTCTGTGGCAGCCCCTCAAATACTGGAAGACTGCTATCCTGTCTCCCCTGGTCCTTCTCTTCACTAGACTAGTCATGTCTAGATCTTGCAACCGTTCACCGTAAGTTTTAGTCTCCAGTACCTTAGTTGCTCTTCTCTGCACTCTTTCTAGAGTCTCAACATCTTTTTTATAGTGTGGTGACCAAAACTGGATACGGTATTCTAGGTGTGGTCTTACTAAGACTTTATAGAGTGGTATTAGTACCACTAAATTGCATCTGTTAATGCAATTTAGAATTGTGTTGGCTTTTTTGACTGCCGCCGCAACTGCTGGCTCCTATTCCGATGCTTTGGCCACCTAATGAGAAGGAAGGACTCACTGGAGAAGAGCCTAATGCTGGGAACGATGGAGGGCAAAAGAAGAAGGGGACGGCAGAGAACGAGGTGGCTGGATGGAGTCACTGAAGCAGTAGGCATGAGCTTGAATGCACTCCAGAGGATGGTAGAGGACAGGAAGGCCTGGAGGAACGTTGTCCATGGGGTCGCGATGGGTTGGACACAACTTCACAACTAACAACAAAACCACTAAGACCCCAAGATCCCTCTCACAGTTACTGCTATTAAGCCTGGTTTCTCTGCTCAGCCTCCGCTGGGATTTACCTTCCGAAGGTTGAGTTCCGTCTCCCGATCTTCAGCCACCAGGGCGTTGAACTGAGCACGCAGCTGCTGCAGCTCCTGTTGCAACTTGGCGCATTTCGCCTGGGAAGTGCGCACCTCCGTTTTGTGCTGCTTCTCGGCTTCGGTCCGGGTACGCTGGATTTGGCTTTCGGAGAACTTGGCCAGGTTGTGCAAGTGAGTTTTCAGTTCTTTGATGACGGCGTTCTTCTTGGCAATCTGAAAAAAAGAAGGAAAAAAAAAAACACAACGATGATAACTTTTAAATCCAACTCTCTAGGGCAGAATCTTCTGGAAAGACCGACTGGATCCAAACTACACTTGGAATAACGCTGTTGAGGATCAGTGGAGTCGAAGCTGGTCACAGCAGTCAAAGCTGGACGAGATCTGTTTGTTGAAGAGTCTAGTTTATCATCATTTGCATTTAATGACCCATCATCCCTTGCGGGGTGGAGTCTGGGCAACTGAATGGAGCTAGCAGAGTGTTTTAATGGCCAGATGCCTTTCTTGTCACCAATACGGAGTTATATTCAGCAGATATATTCTCAACGTGCCCAGAGAGAGAAATATCTGCCTCTACCTAGGATCAAACTCACAGCCCCCTGATTGTGAGGCATGAGCTCCACCTCTAGGCCACCGCACCACTCTCATTGAATGGTCAGTTCCCCTTCCTAAAAACACAATCACTACTACAGGAAGTTCTCGACTTACAACCAGCATTGAGCCCAAAATTTCTGTGCCTGAGCTGGGTTCAATAGTAGTCGTAAATCGAGGATGGATAATCTCTCTCCAGTTATTATCAGGGGATGTCTTATTTTCGGGGAAACAGGGTAATGAAATCACGTTTTTGACTGGCCAAGTGGACCAGACAAGTCAGATCCTGCTGCTTAGCTCCACCGCCGTACCTCGTCATCCCTATTCTGGACGGCGGCAGTCAGTTCGTCTTCCAGTCCTGCGGCGGTCTCCGTGTTTTTCTTGTCTCTCTGGAAGACTTCGTGCAAAAAACGACATTTCTCCTTTTCTTCTAAAGGGGTGGTGAGGAGCTGCTCAAAGAGGAAGCCCCTCTGCTTGGACAGACAGTTAATGAATTTATGGACGGACGGGTCCCTGGTGTAAGCAACTTCTCTCAGAGCTTGGCAAGCAACTGTGTTGGTGTAAAGCAGGCGTAGAATATTTCGGACTGAGCTTTTAAGGCCTTGAATGTGCATCGTGAGATGACCGTCGGTATCCACAAGGCCGAAGAAAGTTCCTTTACCGGAGCCTATGTAGAGAATATTTTCATCCTCCGGGTGTGAGAGCATAAATTCGAGGATGGTTGAAAGCCGGTGATGTTCTCGGAAGGCTCCTGTGAGGTCAGGACCTAAGATAGCGCTAAACTCATCGAAGTTCTCGATGACGTAGGAGAAGACGCTGACCAGTTCTATCTTGAAGATGGTTTCATCCAAGACAGATATGATCCTCTTGGTCTCGACGGTGCTCAGTTTCGACCGACCGGGATCCAAGACCCTTAAGGGGGCTCGGATAGCCTTTTTGGGACGGCTGGAATCCACCAGCTCGTAAGATGGGGAGACCAGTTCCATCGTCATCTTTTCTGCTGGAGAAAAACCTTCAGGACAGGAGACAGTTTTTGAATTTCCCGACAAGGGTTCAGATGTTCTAATGCCTTTGTTTTAGTGTCTCTGATGGAGAGGATTCTGAGAGTAAGACGGAGCAATGGGTGGGAGATTAACCTTGAGGGACAGGAGGAAGAGAGGAAACCAATGGTAAGATAAGAGGAATCTGAGTCCGGGGCAGAAATGTAACCTGGGAAAGAGTCTCCGACATGACCCTCCCTAGTTCCTCCTGAAGATAAAGATAAAATAATGAATATGGAACTTTACAATAATATAATAATTATAATGACTAATAAAGAAAAGGGGATATCAATAGCGATAGATGCCTTGGGTCTATACATATATACAATACAGTAATATATTATAGCATATATTATACTATAATATATACTATTATATACAGTTGTTATTATTATTATTATTATTATTATTATTATTATTATTTATTGAATTTCTATACCGCCCTTCTCCCGAAGGACTCAGGACGGTGAACAGAATAAGATTTCATATACATATAATATTTTTTTTTATAAACAGTAAATAATAAATTGATTATTATTAATTAATAAATTATATTATATATACAGTATTTATATACAGTAATATAATATACTGTAGCATATAATACAGTACAATATAATATAAAATAATGATCTGTAATGATATAAAATGATAAATTATTAATTAATTAATTAATATAAATATATAAATATAAATATTTCGCCCCTCCTCCTTTGAAATGCAACCCGTGCAGGAAAAAGCATCATTTTTTAACTTTTGCGGCTCACCCGACCTAAAAGGTAAAGGACCCCTCGGTTACCATGACAACGAAGTTTAAAGCCGAGTCCTCTCGTTGCCAGGTAACGCTGGACCGCGCGAGGGGGAGGAGCTTCATCTAGCCAATCGAAGCCCTCGTTGCTTCCACCGTGGTCGTTCCGACAGCCAAGACGTGGCCAATAGGAGACGTCAAAGGGAGGGGGCTTGCTCCTCCCACTTCTTACGTACCTTTTAAGGGGGCAAGGGTACGGTAGTAAGAGAAGGTGGCACATACTTCGGGTTGTCAGTTGACCTTAATGGGAGGCCAAACGGAAAGCGAACGATATTTATCGCCTGAAATTCGACGAACTTAATAAACAGGCTGTTGGCCAGATAGCAAATGAACTCTTACACATTTATGTACAACGGCTAATTCTGGCCGTTTAACTGGCGGCGGCACCTTGATGGAGAACCGGAGTTTGCAGGCAACCATATGTATCCCTATCTCTTCGCTCTATTAGAGCGCATTCCAGGACAGGACGCCGGGGAAAGGGCAAGCTAATAGCGCATGCGCACTCCTAAAGCCTCTAGGGAACGCGGCAAACAGCGATTCTACCACCACTTCCGGATACCCATAGGACGCTGCTTATACTGCATGTTGAGTGGAGACCTTTAATTAAATAGCACTGGGTTGGGGGATGATGGAAGTTGGGGGATGATGGAAGTTGTGGTCCCACATCCTTCCAAGACTGCAGGTTGGGAGAGGAGTGGTGCAATCCTAGGGATGAGAACTTAATCTGTATTATTATGGGAACGCCTCTAGGTAGCATTGCAACTTGCAAAAATACATAAAAAAAATAAATTAAAAAAAAATTAAATTTAAATTTAAAAAAAAAATTAAATTTTTTTCCCCCCAGGGTTGCAAGCTCGCTTCCTTCCCCCCACCAAGCCGCAAATAAAACGGGAGCCGTCCCTAATTCTGCCAAAGTCATCAGCGGACTTTGCAATTATATAATAATAATAATAATAATAATAATAATAATAATAATAATAATAATAATAATATAGAGAGGGGGTTAACAGCCTGGACCCCCTCTTAAAATCCAGCCCAGCTCCAATGTCGTACCAGCCGGCTCCTTCGCCCACTTGTTGTGTTGTTGTGTTGTGTTGTGTTGTGTTAGCAAGGCACATTTGCAAAGTCGGGAGGGGTGTGAAAGCTGGAGCAATTATTGCAAAAGGAAGAAGGGGGGAGAAAAAAAAAACTTTTTTTTGTTGTTTTGGTTTTAAAAATGACCTCTGCAAAGCCCTGGAACTGAGTTTGGAAGAACCGACCACGATGATTTGCAAAGCACGGTTAGAAAGGAGGCTGGGTTGAAAAAAAAGGGGGAAGGAGGAAGGGAGAAAAAAAAAAAAAGGAGGAGGAAGAGGGAGGGAAGTTGGAGGTTCTCACGCTTTATTTACGCGCTGCCTCCTCCTTCCCCGCCTCCTTCGGACTCGTGTTTGGCTGCTTCCTCCTCCTCCTCCTCCTCCTTCTCCTCCTCTTCCTCTCTCTCTCTCTCTCTTTGCTGGACTCTCCTCTTCCTAAGTCATCGGGAAGAAAAGCTGGGGAGGCCCGAAAACTTGGCGTTTGCATTGCATTGCATTGCATTGCATTTCTTCTTCTTCTAATTTTTTTTTTTTTGCAAACGACCCGGGACTTTTGCTGACACGCGTTGGCCAAGATCATGGGAACGCCGGCACATCCCCGAGACGGGCTCCCGCTTTGATCAAACCGATTGCAAAAAAAAAAAAAAAAAAGGGGGGGGGAGTAATAGAAGCTGCATTCCCCCGGCTGGGGACCCCCCCACCCTCCCCTCCTGCACCGCAGACCCGGTTAGGGGGAGAGCGGTGGGCTTCCCCCATGGCTGGGTGCCTGGAAGAGGACGACGTCCCCCTGATCTTGACCTTAGAGGACGGCAGGAGCCGGAGGGTCGAGCCGGAGGGGGTCCCCAATGAAAGTAAGCCAACTTTGCTTGCATCTCTCTCTCTCTCTCTGTCCGGGATGCGAAGCTGGAGATGCGCTGGGGAGGGGGCTCCAATGGCTTCTTGGGTGGGGAGGGGGCTCGGCGTGTCTTCAGAGAGAGGGGAAGGGGGTGGGGGTGGGAATGGGGGGTCCCGACAACAGCATTCCGGGGTTGCTTCGCCTGCGGAGGGGAGGGGGGGTCTCGCTTTAGGAAGCTGAAGCGGGGAAAGGGAGGGAAAGGGACAGACAGATACAGAGAGAGAGAGAGAGAGAGAGAGACCGATAAATAGATACTGATAGATAAATAGATACTGAGAGAGAGAGAGAGAGACCGATAGAGAGATACCAATAAATAGATACCGATAGATAGATACTGATAGATAGATACAGAGAGAGAGAGAGAGAGAGAGAGACCGATAGAGAGATACCAATAAATAGATACCGATAGATAGATACTGATAGATAGATACAGAGAGAGAGAGAGAGAGAGATACAGATAGATACCAATAAATAGACACCACTAGATAGATAGATACCAATAGATACTTAGAGAGAGAGAGAGATACAGATAGAGAGATAGATAAATAAATAGATACCGATAGATAGATACCGATAGATAGATACTGAGAGAGAGAGAGAAAGAGATACAGATAGATAGATACTGATAGATAGATAGAGAGATACAGATAGATAGATATATTGATAGATAGATACTGGTAGATAGATACTGATAGGGAGAGAGAGATACAGTTAGATAGATAGATACAGATAGATATAGATACCGATAAATGGATACCGATAGATAGATACCGATAAATGGATACCGATAGATAGATACCGATAGATAGATAGATACAGATAGGTAGGTAGGTAGATAGATACCAGTAGGTAGATAGATACAGGTAGGTAGGTAGGTAGGTAGGTAGGTAGGTAGGTAGATACCAATAAGTAGATACCGATAGATAGATACCGGTTGAGAGATACTGATAGACAGAGAGAGAGAGAAAGAGAGAGATACAGATAGATATAGATACCAATAGATACCGATAAATGGATACCGATAGATAGATACCAATAGATAGATAGATACAGATAGGTAGGTAGGTAGGTAGATAGATACCGGTAAGTAGATAGATACAGGTAGGTAGGTAGGTAGGTATAGGTAGATAGATACCAATAAATAGATACCGATAGCTGGATACTGGTAGAGAGATACTGATAGATAGATAGATAGATAGATAGATAGATAGATAGATAGAGATATAGATAGATACAGATAGATATAGATACCGATAGATACCAATAAATGGATACCAATAGATAGATACCGATAGATAGATAGATAGATAGATAGATAGATAGATAGATAGATAGATATCTGGGGCTGTTGGACTCCAATTCCCAGCAGCCTCAGCTGGCTCAGTTAAAGGGAGTGGGGGAGCACCAAGTTGGCCAGGGCGTGCGTTCTAAGTCGGGGTCTTCACTTGCAAAATTGGACTTTGGCAGCTGCAGGAGAAAAACACACACGATGGGCAGTTTAGTCTGGGAGGCTAAATTGTGTGATGAACGGTTAGTGGGGAGCTACTTATGTCTAGTCTAACAAAGGATTAGGGGTGACCTGATAGCAGTCTTCCAGTAGTGGAGGGAGGGGCTGGCACAAAGGAGAGGGGGCTATAGGATCTTCTGCTTGAGCAGCGGGCTAGACTAGATAGTCCCTTTCAGCTTTACGGTATTCTGATTCAAACTTATTATTTAGGGTTATCAAGAGGACAGGACAAGAAGTAGTAGATAGAAGCTAGATAAAGAGAGATGCAACCTTCCGGAAGTTGTGGGTACTCCCAATCACGGGAGGTTTTCAGAACATGCGCGTGCGACACCCTTGCGATCCCCCCGCTTTTGGCACACGATGGCACGGTGGGCCCAGTAGGCCCATTTTTTCGCCCTCCCCAGGCTCCAGAAGCTTTCTTGGAGCCTGGGGAGGGCAAAAACAGCCTTCCCCATCCCTCCCCCAGGAGGCCAGAAATGGCCCATTTGCCGACTTCCGGTGGAACTGGAAGGCCTGTTTTTCGCTCTCCCCAGGCTCCAGAGCCTTTCTAGGAGCCTGGGGAGGGCGAAAATGGCCTTCCCCATCCCCCTGGAGGCCCCCCGGAGGCCGGAAATAGCCTGTTTCCCGACTTCCAGTGCGCCTGGAAGGCCCGAAAATCAGCTGGCCAGCGCTGAGCTAGGGCAACACTCACGTGCCCACCGATATGGCTCCGTGTGCCACCTGTGGCACGCGTGCCATAGGTTCGCCATCACAGCTATAGGATACCAGAGGGCAGGACAAGATGTAGTGGATGGAAGCTTGTTAGAGAGAAGCAACCTAGAACTAAATAGAAATTCCCCTGGCAGTGAGAACAATAAATTCAGCTTGCTTCCAGAAGTTGTGGGTGCTGCCATCACTGGAGGTTTTTCAGAAACTGGACAACCTTTTGACCAGGATGATATAAGTCCTCTCCTGTCTTGGGCAGGGGGGTTGGTCTAGAAGACCTCCGAGGTCCCTTCCAGTCCTATGATTCTAGATTCTAAGCGTGTGTGATGGACAGATTACGTTCCTGAGACGACTTCTTTTTTGTGTTGTTTTTAAAACGGCGGATTTTAAAAAGGCCTACGTTGTTTTTCTCTTCGCCCTTCCATGCCATCTGTTGGCGGAAAGCAGAGCTGGGAAATCTTTGGATGAAAATAAGGGAAGGAATAAAAGGGGGGGGGGAAAATCATGATTTTTTTTTCACCCATGCTGTTCTGCCCCAGCTCCGGATTCCTGAGAATATTGACTCACACCAACAGTCCTTATCAAATTTATTAAGTAACAAGAATAAACCAAAGTCCGGCAAAGGTTGGCAACCAGCCCAGAAAACAAGATACGATAAGACTTTTCCAGCAATGCTCTGATGATAATTACAAGTTGTTTCCAGCAAGAAACTTACTAAAAGTGTGTGACTTAAATAGGCTAAGGGAGTGGCCAATTATCCTCAAGCCTACTCTCGAGTAGACCTCCTCCTCCTGAGTAGCCACTCCTGCCTTTTGGCAGCCCTGTGTGCTCAAGCATTGAGAAAGAGGCTCCTCCACTTCGCTCTCTGCACTTGAAGGAACCTCTGGAGGTTCTGAAGGCCCTGGCTGAGTCTCTGTCTCTGGCACCACATCCTCTTCTTCAGCCTCCTCGCTGTCCGACGCGAGCGCCGGCTGTGCCGGCTGCTGGCGCAACACCACACCAGGCTCCTCCTCGTCGGGATCAGCCACGATCCACACAGGCCGCTGGCGGGCCACAACACATGCCGGGCCGAGGGACTGTGGCTATCGTGCTCTGGAGTTGCAAACTTCGGAACAAAGAGTAGATTTTATTTTATTTTTTTTCAAGCCTGTTTGACTCCCTCGTTCACCTTGAATCTCTGGAAAGAGATTCTCCCTGAGCCAAGAGGAGGATGGAGTGATTCAGAAACACGGAGGCAGAAAAATATCAACGTGGCCCAAAAGGAAATAAGAAAATGCCACAGTGCATCTGTTTGTGCAAAGCACCCCACGCACTCATGGGGTGAAAAGCACGTCTGTTTTTGTCTCTTGGGAGTGAATTCCTGAAAGCCAGTTTGGTTTAGCTCCATGATGGTGAACCTATGGCACGCAGAGTCCTCTCCGTGGGCACGCGTGCCGTTGCCAGCTGCTCTTCTGGTTTCCAAGTGTTTTCAGACCTTTTTTGGGCTGTTTTTTGGGCCATTTTCAGGCTATTTTTTGAACCGTTTTGAGGCCGTTTTTGGGCCATTTTTAGGCCATTTTGGGGGCTGTTTTCAGGCCATTTTTTGCGGCGTTTTTCTCAGGTGGACCGTGCGAGACGCAATCAAAACACAGCAGCACCCCTTTCAGCTCTTTTTGGCACGCTGGTTTATTCGCGTCCGTGGACGGCTACACGCTGCGACTCGTAAAGACGAATGAAATCGGCGCTACAGTGTACTAGAAATGGGCGTTTATATAGCCCTCCCTTCTCATTAGCCCTTTTAAACCGCGCCCCCATTTATCACCACACCCTTGTTAGCGCGGAAGCGTCCCAGCTGGTTCTCGAAGGTGCTGGTTACAGCATCATTTGGAGACCTCCTAAGCCCGTTGCACCCGATACTACCTCCCCTCGTCCCGCAGATGGCTGCCTGCACCCAGTGCCACCACCATCAAGTATGTATATGTCCCTCGATGCTTTCAACACGCGTTAGCGGTGTCGAGCAGGTTGCTAGGCTCGACAGTTTTCAGGCCATTTTGGGGCCGTTTCAGACCATTCTTTGGCCCGTTTTTTAGGCCGTTTTCAGGCCTTTTTCAGGCTGTTTTTCAGGCCATTTTGGGGCCGTTTTCAGCCTGTTTTTGAGGCCGTTTTTCAGGCTTTTTTCAGGCCGTTTCAGGCCATTTTTTGGGCTGCTTTCAGGCCTTTTTCAAGCTGTTATTTGGGCCATTTTCAGGCCATTTTGGGCCGTTTCAGGCCATTTTGGGGCTGTTTTTTAGGCCATTTTCAGGCCTTTTTCAGGCTGTTTTTCGTGCCATTTTTTGGCCGTTTTCAGCCTGTTTTTGAGGCCGTTTTTCAGGCTTTTTTCAGGCCGTTTCAGGCCATTTTTTGGGCTGCTTTCAGGCCTTTTTCAAGCTGTTATTCGGGCCATTTTTGGGCCTGTTTTCAGGCTGTTATTTGGGCCCGAAAAATAGCCTGAAAATGGGCAAAAAACAGGCAAGCGCACACCAGCCAGCTGGTCTTTGCAGGTGCCGGAAAACAGCCAAAAACCAGACCATTTTGGGGGCTGTTTCAGGGCCTTTCTGAGGCCGTTTTCCAAGCCTTTCCCGAGCCATTTTGTGGACTGTTTTCAGGCCTGAAAAACAGCAAAAAAACAGGCATGCGTGCACCGGCTGGTCTTTGCACGCATGTTCCAGTTTGGGCACTCAGTGCCGAAAAGGTTTGCCATCCCTGGTCTAGCTATTACGGTGGCGAACTGTACAGATAGTCCTCGACTTACAACAGTTCATTTAGTGACCGTTGGAACGGCACTGCAAAAAGTGACTTACGACCGTTGTTCACCCTTACGTCCATTGCGGCATCCCCGTGGTCAGGTGATCAGAATTCCGACATTCGGCAACTGACTGGTATTTATGACGGTTGCGGGGTCCCCTTTCGCGACGGGGAAGCCGGATTCACTTAACAACCGTGTCACTAGCTTAACCACTGCAGTGATTTGTTGAACAACCGCGGCAGGAAAGCTCACGAAACAAGGCAATTTAACCAATGTTTCGTGCGGCAGCAGAAATTCTGGGCTCAATTCTGGTCGTAAAACGAGGGCACCGGCAATTTTTGCTCAGCCGACCCAATTTTTGACGCCTGATTAAAAAGACTTGATTAATCCCTGTCCCCCCCCCCCACCCTCTCTCTCCTCATCCTGGAAAATCAGCAACTATTAAAATGCAAAAACTGAGAGTGGATGTTAATTAATCCTTGCCAGATCCCGTTTCCTGGAAACTGTGACATTCTAGGTTTTTTTTTTTTTTCCTCCCCCTTGTTGTTGCTCCCAACATTTGTTCCGCTGATTTCTGAGTCACCTCCGGCAAGGGCCGAGCAACGAGACGCTGCTGAAAAGTTTCTGTCGTTTCGTATGCGTGGGCTGTCGGCTTTCCAGGGTTTTTAATGCTGGCTTAGGATGCCGTGTGCGTGATTTCCACCTGTTCCCAAAGCAACCAGACCAACGGTGCTGGTGGGCATCTCGGCAAGCACACTCATTCCTTTGTGCAAACCAGCCTACTTGGGGGTGGGTGAGCGAGTGGGTGGGGAAGCCAAGGGTTTTGAAAAGATTTGCAAGTGGAAATGCGTTCGGAGGTCTTTGCAAAGCGAGCGTGTTCGATTTGCAGTTCTCCATTCCTGGAGGTTTTTTTAAGAAGGGATTGGACAGGCTTTGGTCTGGAATGGCGTAGGGACGTCATGGCGAGCCTATGGCACGCGTGCCACAGGTGGCACACGGAGCCATATCGGTGGACACGTGAGCATTGCCCTAGCTTAGCTGCAGCACACATGCGCGCGCCGGCCAGCTGATTTTCGGGGCTACCGGAAGTCAGGAAACACACTGTTTCCGGCCTCTGGAGGGCCTCCGGGGGGGTGGGGAAGGCCCCTTTTTCGCTCTCCCCAGGCTCCAGATACTTTCTAGGAGCCTGGGGAGGGCAAAACCAGCCTCCCCCCCCCAGAGGCCCTCCGGAAGTCGGAAATGGCCCGTTTGGACTGGACGTCGGCAAACAGGCCATTTCTGGTCTCCAGAGGGCCTCCGGGGGAGGGGGTGGGTGGGGAAGGTTATTTTGCCCTCCCCAGGCTCCAAGAAGACTTCTCTAACCAGGAAATGTGCTTTTCCAACATTGTGATGTGAGAGGTGTGTTCAAATAGAAGTGCAAAAATACTGTTTTGGGACCCTGTATCATTTCAAACAATTGGTTGTCTAATCTCTTCCTAAAAACTTCCAGTGTTGGAGCATTTACAACTTCTGGTGGCAAGGAGTTCCACTGATTAATTGTTCTCACTGTCAGGAAATTCCTCCTTAGTTCTAGTTGCTTCTCTCCTTGATGAGTTTCCACCCATTGCTTCTTGTCCTGCCCTCAGGTGCTTTGGAGAATAGCTTGACTGCCTCTTCTTTGGGGCAGCCCCTGAGATATTGGAAGGCTGCTACCATGTCTCCCCTTAGTCCTTCTCTTCATTAAACTAGACATACCCAGTTCCAGCGACCGTTCTTGATATGTTTCAGCTCTCCAGTCCCCTAATCATCTTCGTTGACCGAAATTAAACAACATTTTCCTTAAAAAGAGAAAATAAACACGGCCGCATGTTTTGAGTTTAAAATGTCTTTAGGAACAAAAGAGGAATCAAAGTTGCAACCAGGATGGCAAACACAAAAATGCCAAGAGGTTTTAATAACAGAAACAGACCTTAACTGCACCTTTTAGCGTTTTTTTAAATTTTTATTTTTGTCTATGGAACGTCTACTTGGCGGCACTCAACATAAACAGAGCTCCCCTTCACAAACATTGGGTTCCTGAGAATTCAGCGCAGCCCGACTAGATGACCTCGTTTTTCTTCATGAGGTCTAGGAACTTGACAAGTTTCAGGGGACACAAATCACTCGCTCGAATGCCTCCACCACAATTTTAACATGAAGAGGGTCTCGCCTTCCTTGGGAAGGGAAGGTCTTAGGGACAGAGAAGCCAAAAATGGAATTGCCTAGAGTTTACAATCTTTTTTCCCTGCTTCCCATCAAGATGGCATCAATTATGACGAGATCCACGATATGTCCAGCCCAGCGACGGGAGAACGATGTTCTCACCCGTGGGATCGCGGAAGACGAACTTGGGAAATGAACTACCAGGAAGCTGCAATTTATCTACAGGTGGGCCGTAATTTTTGTGTTACGTCTTGGGGGGAAAAAAATGAAGGGGAGGAAAATGGGAGGGGGGGCGGGGGGTGTCCCAGAATCCCCCAGCCTGAAGAATGGGCGCTAAGAATTCTGGGAGTTGAAGTCCACACATTCCCAACAACCAGTGGTAGGCGGCTGCTGTCCTATTTACCGTATTTTTCGGACTATAAGATGCACTTTTTTGTCTCCCAAAAGGGGGCGAAAATGTCTGTGCATCTATATAGACCGAATATTGCCGAAGCCCTGCCCACCCACGGGAAATTTTTTGGCTTCATCGCACCCTGTTTCCGGGCCTTTTTCAGGCCTTCTTCAGCCCATTTTCGGTGCTTTTTTTCACTCGTTTTTGAGGCTTTTTGGGCCCATCTTTTAGGCTTTTTTCGGCCCGTTTTAGAGGCTTTCTTAGAAAAAACGGGCTGAAAATAGTCTCAAAAAAGAACAAAAAAAAAAAGCCTCAAAAATGGCCCCCCAAAAGCCTTGAAAATGGGCCAAAAAAAGCCCAAGAAATGGATAGCAAAAAGCCTTGAAATTTGGCCGAAAAAAAGCCTTGAAAACGGGCCAGAAAAGCCTCGAAAATGAGCCGAAAAAAGCCCCGGAAACAGGCCAAAAAAAGACTAGAAAAGGGCTGAAAAAAGGGCTGAAAAGTTAGATCAAAACCTTTTTTTTTTTTATTGTTTTCCTCTTCTAAATTTAAGTGCGTCTTATAGTCCGAAAAATACGGTAGCTGTGTTTTTTAAGAAATGTGCAAGCGCGCAAGTGAGCAAAGTGCATGCGCAGAAGGTCGCATGCGAGCATGCACACGTGCCTGCTCACATTTTCGGTGCTGGGGCGCACCGGTTGTGAATTCATGTGCCGCCCACCTCTGCCAACAACTCTGGCCAGAAAGTGTTGTGGCTCCGTTACCTGAGCCTGTGTTATCGGAGGGAGAAGGCTCCGAACATGAAGGAAAGGAGTTGGCCAGGCCTCCCTCTCCAGGGTCCTCCTCTCTGGCAATGCCTCAGGTGTCTCCTGAAGGAGAAGAGATTGGCCAGGAGCCAGGTAACTCCTTGCAGTTGGACAGTGATGGAGATAAGTCTTGGCTGGATCCACGCCAGCGTCGGAGAGACAGGCGCGCGCAGCAGAAGAGGAGGCGTGCCAGAGATTAGGTTCAGTCATTGGACCACACCCCACAGGGGATAAAAGGGGGTGAGGTGGCCATTCAGACTCTGTGACGGACAAAACAAACTACTAGCGAGTCACATTGTATCTTTGAAACAACGTTATCTGCCTTGGATTTAATTACGGACTGGACTTGACAATTCTTGAACTGTGTGTATCTTGTTTGGGTTTATCTGACGGAGGAACAACCCCTCCCTCTATGAGTAAAGTTCTTGGCAAGCAGCTACTGCCAATTCTCTTATCGAAAGAATTTGTTGTCTGCCAGTTTTATTTAACCCCTGGCTATCTGTTTGTGTGCGTGTGTGAGACGGGGACAGAACAGAAAGGTCGTAAAATGAGGCATCATAATTCCTTTAACAACTGTCCCGCTTAGCAACAGAAATTTTAAGGCTCCATTGTCATAAGTCAAGGAATGCCTATATGGGGTTTGTGCCATAATGATGAGATTTTTCTTCTTCTTTCCCCCCCCCCCTTAAACATTCCAGGAAGGCGAGAACAATGATAAATTCGTCACTCATCCCAAGGACCACAAAGCCCTCGCCTCCTACCTCTTTGTCCACAACCATCTCTTCTATCTGATGGAGCTAACCACAGCTCTGTTACTCTTGCTGTTGTCGCTCTGCGAAGCCCCCGCGGTTGCCATATTCCGCCTCGGCATTTACGTACGTGGCTCCTGGGGAAAGGGAGGGAGAAGGGGTGAAATCCAGCAGGTTCTGACGAACCGGTAGCGGAAATTTTGAGTAGTTCGGAGAACCGGCAAATGCCACCTCTGGCTGGCCCCAGAGTGGGGTGGGAATGGAGATTTTGCAGGATCCTTCCCCTGGAGTGGGGGAAGGAATGGAGATTTTGCAGGATCCTTCCCCTGGAGTGGGGTGGGAATGGGGATTTTGCAGTATCCTTCCCTCATCTTGTTTCAGGTCCACGCTACCTTGGAGCTGTTCGCCTTGACGGTTGTGTTGTTTGAGCTCTCCATGAAATTAAGATGGCTGGGCTTCCATACCTACATCCGCCACAAAAGAACCATGGTCAAGGTAAGGCCATACCTACCTAGCAAGAACTCGGCTGTTGTTTTTAACCTGGAAATATATCCCGCCAGGTTTATTCTTGTTTCCTATGGATATACAAGTAATTCTCCGTTTATGGCTATAATTGAGGCCAACATTTATGTTGCTAGGTGAGAAATTATGCGAATTGAGAGTTTTGTTCCGATTTACGACTTTTCTTGCCACGTCGGTTAGATGAATCGCTGAAATTAAATCCCTTACCGACCGCTACAGTTATCCCGGTGGTCATGTGATCAAAATTCAGACTTTTGGCGCAACTGACTCGCATTTATGACGGGTCGTAGTGTCCCGGGATCCCCTTTTGCGACCTTCTGAGAAGCACAACCAACGGGGAGTGAACCAGATTCATTTAACAACCGTGCTACTCATTTAACAGTGGTTAAGCAGATGGCGGCTGTTATTAAGTGAATCATGAGGTCGTTAAACGAATCTGGCTTCCCCATGGACTTGGCTGGTCAGAAGGTCGCAAAAGTGACCCCCGGGACACTGCAACCGTCATAAATATGAGCCAGTTGCAAAGTGTCTGAATTTTGATCCTGTGACCCTGGGGAATGCTTGCAACGGTCGTAAGTGTGAAAAATGGTCATAAGACACTTTTTTCAGTGCTGTTGGAACTTCAAACTGTCACTAAATAATGTTTGTAAGATGAGGACTTCCTTTGTACATTAAGAATTGCTAAGGAGGACTTGTTGTGACCTAGGCTTACTGAGTAATTACAATACAAAATTAGTCCTAAATAAACCTATTTTATTGTAACAGCTGAAAATTACGTTCATTCCCAGCTGAGTCCCAATTAGTTGTAAAACAAGTCCTTCGGAAGAAGTCCTTCGGGATAATCACCCACCTTTATCTTCTTTGACACCCTGCCAAAGGCCTTACTTGGCAAAGCCCCACGGAGTTCAGAAACAAACGAGATGCCGACTGGAAACAGAGTTAGCAACGTTGCTTTCCTGCAAAAGGCCCAAGTGCCTCTGTTTCTCTTTTAAGCCTTATGGGAGGGCCAATCATCTCCTGGCCTTATTCCTGAGTCGTCCCTTTTGTTTTAGCTGCTCTTGCCATCTGGCAGCTCTACGCATGCATGCACTAGGAACAGGCTCCTCCTGTTCCTATTCCTCTCTGCTGTCCGACTCTGGGGACTCTGGGGTCCGCGCATTACTCCCAGATGGCCCTGGCCCCATCTCTGCCTCTGACACAGAGCCCTCCTCGGGGCCTTCCCCAGACTCCAGGACTGGACCATGTTCCTCCCCAGCCTCCTCACTGTCCGACTCCGCTGCCAGGTCCACAGGCTGCTAGCGGACCACAACAGGACTCTTCTTCACTCTCTCCCTCCCATCCAAACTATTTAAGCTCCGCCCCTTCTGGAGGATCCTCTGGAATGCAGCCCCTCCCTCTTCTCTTCCTCCTGGGAATCCAGGCTGCATTCCACCACACCCCACGCCTTTCTCTTATCTTCTTCTCCCCCCTGCAGACCTGCGTCCTCTTCCTGCAGTTTGTAGAAGCGGTCGTGGTGTTGGTGCGTCAGACATCCCACCTTCGCATCACCCGAGCCTTGCGGTGCATCTTCCTGGTTGATTGTCGTTATTGTGGAGCTGTGAGAAGGTAACGGGTTAGGTTGTCTCTGAGCAGGCTGGTGCGATTCTCTTGGCAAGAAGACCGGCGTTTCTCTTTTTCACCTGCTTTTCGATGAACAATTGTGTAAATTGTGGCATGCCCCGTTTCGACCTGGACGGCGTCCTGCAGTACTCTGCCGGCCAAAATGGGGCATGGGGCCCGTGTTTTGGTCGGCAGAGTGCTACAGGAGGCTGCCCAGGCCCAAAATGGAGCATGTGGGAGGCCATGCGTGGCTCCCCCGGTGCCACCGGCTCCCCGGTGGCTCCTCCGTTTTTGGCCGCCAGATGCTCAGCGGACTGGTCCTTTGCTATTTCCAGACCAGCGCCGCTGGCCAGATTGAAATACCCCACAGGCCAGATCCAGCCCACATGCCTTGAGTTCAACACCCCTGGTGTAAAGGGTTGATTTGAGTCGAGCCTTTTGGTTTGAAGGCTACTAACTGGAGGTTTGAACTATAGTGTGTACACAATTAGAGGGATACGGTGGCTCAGTGGCTAAGATGCTGAGCTCGTCTATCGAAAGATCGGCAGTTCAGCAGTTTGGCCTTGCCCTCTGTTTGGCAATTAGTTCTCTGACAGCATTCTAAGGGAGATAAGGTGGGTGTTTATAAACACTCTCTTGAAAGACTGTTTGAGAAACTTTTCAGATTGAGAATAACAATAATTCACAGCCCTTTGAATTAAAGAGGTTTGCTGGGACTAAGATTGTGCTTTATGCTTTCCAAGGAAGCCTACATCAGAGCAGAGGCGTGGTTTCTACAGCCCGCAAAAGTGCCTCGTTGGAGAATGTGATTTATAACACAGCCTGAGAGGAGGGGGGAAACAGGGTCATAGCTGAGCCGTAAATTCCGTGCAGCAGAGTTGACTACACTTGGGAAGCTGCCGACATGTTGCTCCTAATAAATAACTGGATTTCTTTTGAAGCTTGGCTCGAGGCTCATGAGTTAATTAGGGCATTTGTCGGAGCCCTGACAGTATTTGTTTGCAAGTTTAACCTGGGGAACTTTAAACAATGGTGGAGTGTTACTGTTTCGGCATCTCACTCACTGGCTGCTTTTAAGGGATGGAATAATAATCGACGCGGAGGGATGTTTTTCTTTCAAAGAGCCGCTGTTTTGTTTTTTGTTTTTGTTTTGTGTTTTCCAGAAACCTACGTCAGATTTTTCAGTCTCTGCCACCCTTCATTGATATTCTCCTCCTTTTGCTTTTCTTCATGGTCATCTTTGCGATTTTGGGTATGAATTTTTTTCCCCACTCTTCTATTCATTCATTTAAGGCGAAACATTTTCAGGAAAGGCAGAAACATTTGCAGTCAAGAGAGCTGGACAGAACGTGTGTCGAGACGTCGCAACGCAGGCAGCGCCATGCGTTGTGGCATCGCTGTTACGCACTTGCGTGTATCGTTGTGGTGGAGGTAGCAACACCTCCCAAGCGTACATTGCAACCTCACAAAACAAGACGCATCATGTTTTCTCTTGGTCTGTCCAGGGTTGAGCATACGCCGGTTTAACTTCCATGGAGAGATTATTCAATACAGGTAGTCCTGGATTTACGACCACAATTGAGCCCAGGATTTCCATTGCTAAGCGAAAAATTTTGCTAAGTGAGTTTTGCCCCGTTTTACGACTTTTCTAGTACGACTTATGTTACTTAGTTTGGGTCATGCAAGAAAACAAACTGATCTCAGAGAGCACCAAGGACCCCTCGTGTTTGAAAAAACGGAGAATAAAGTAAATATAAAAAAATGTGGAAATGGTTGGCTGAGTCTTGCATAATTTGTCTAGAACGGGGTTCTCCAAACTTGAAACTTTTTAAAGACTTCTGACATGAAGGCAACCCTGAGCTACAAATATTCTCCTTTTTCGGTAACACTTTATAGATGCAATTTGTTTGATCTTTCTCCGTTCTTTCTTCTAGGATTTTATCTGTTCTCTCCAAACAAATGGGACCCTGTAAGTAAACCATAAATTCCAGCACTCTTGACAGTTCTTGGGAGCACCACAAATCTTAACAGGGGGAAACTTTTAAACAACTTTTGCTAAAGTGAATTCCAGTGCTGTGCAGACAGTTCTAGATTAGCTGTTGTGTCAAGCAGTTGTGAGTCTCAATTTGGCTCCATTTCCTTCCCCCTTTTAAAATAAATTAATGTGTCACCCGTCCAGCCCTTAGTGGCATCGTTTCGCTTAATTGTTTATGCAAAAAAGGAACGGATGAAACATGCATGTGACATGCTTAGCCAGCAAAGTTACAGCCAGGAGTTTTCAGTTCGTTGCTTTTTTTTTCCCGAAGCAAGGAAAACTTAACGCAAGAATATTTTTTTCTCGCTAAACTGGAGGGCATTCGAGATCCTTTCAGGCCATGAAATTCTTCTGAAATTGTCAATTCAGAAGCAACTGTTACACACCAGAACAACTAAACACAAGGACAGTTTTTTTTCCTGAATGCCATCACTCTGCTAAACAATTACCATATTTTTCAGAGTAGAAGACGCACCTTTTCCCCCCCTAAAAAGGGGTGAAAATTTAGGTGCGTCTTATACACCAAATGTAGCCCCGCCCACCCACTGGCCCCCACCCTTTGGCCTCCCTCTGCCTCCCAGCAGTTTACCTCCTTGCAGCAAGCAGAAGAAACAGCCCGTTTCAGCTTCAGCAGAGCTTGATTAGTACAAGTTGATTGGATCGGCCTCCCGACTCTCAGCTGTTTTGCTCTCAGTTGTTTTGCACAGGCCTCTGCTGCTTGCTACAAGGAGGTAAATTGCTGGGAGCAGATTTTTTTTTTCTTGTGCTAATCAAGCTATGCTGAAAACGAAAATGAAAGTAAAGCAGGCTATTTGCTGTTTGCTGCAATGAAGCAAAATTGCTGGGAAGCCGAGGCAGAGGCAGATTTCTTTTCCTTGTTTTCCTCACCAAAAAAGCTGAGGTTTTATAGTCCAGAAGGTCTTATACTCCGAAAAATACGATAATTCCCACAACACTGTCAAATTAACTACTAAGACTGTATTACTATTATTCTTCTCATCCTTCCTAGTACCTGTCTTTTCCCACTTATGGCTATTATCCATGTTTGTTTATTTTTTGTTTATTTGATTTACTTTTTTATTTTTTTATATTTTATTTGCTTGTATCTTTACAACTTAAATTATTTTTATTGTTTCCTAGTATGATTCGATTGCTTAGTAGTATCCTATGACTATCACTAAGTGTTGTATCTTATGATTCTTGAGGAATATATTTTTTCTTTATGTACACTGAGAGCCTATGCACCAAAGACAAATTCCTTGTGTGTCCAATCACACTTGGCCAATAAAATTCTGTTCTATTCTGTTCTATCCTATCCTATCCTATCCTATCCTATCCTATCCTATCCTATCCTATCCTATCCTATCCTATCCTATCCTCCTTCCTTCCTTCTTTCCTTGTTCTGTTCTGTTCTGTACTGTTCTGTTCTGTTCTAGTCTTTTATTAATTTCTATTCTATTCTAATTCTATTGTTCTATTCTGTTCTATTCTATTCTATTCTATTCTATTCTATTCTATTCTATTCTATTCTATTCTATGTGCTTGTATCTTTCAATTTATATTGTTTTTACTTGTTTCCTAGTATGATTTGATAGCTTATTAATAACCTTGACTATCACTAAGTGTTGTATCTTTTTATGTATTTTATTCTCCTTATGTACACTGAGAGCTTATGCACCAAAGACAAATTCCTTGTGTGTCCAATCACACTTGGCCAATAAAAGAACTCTATTCTATTCATTTTTCTTTCTCCTCAGTGCTTTTTCGTTCTTTTGCAGTATTTCAACACTTTGGAGAGCAGCCTGGTGAATCTTTTCGTTCTTCTCACCACTGCCAAGTAAGTCTTGGGTTATTAGTGGAGCCGCACTAGAGGCGATGGCGGTGGGAGGGCAGAGGAAAACGAGCCACGTTGCTATTCCAGAAGCTTGTGTTGAAGCGTTGTTATTTGAAAATAATTGACAGTATACTAAATAGCATATTGCCCCCAACAATCTGGGTCCTCATTTTACCCACCTCGGAAGGATGGAAGGCTGAGTCAATCTTGAGCCTGGTGAGATTTGATCTGCTGATCTGCGGAACTAGCAGTCAGCTGAAGTAGCTGCAGTACTGCACTCTAACCACTGCGAATAGTCGCTCTTAATAGAATAGAAAATAGAAATAGAAAGGAATGAAATAGGAATAGAATGGAATAGAATAGAATAGAATAGAATAGAATAGAATAGAATAGAATAGAATAGAATAGAATAGAAAATAGAAATGGAATGGAATGGAATAGGAATAGAATAGGAATAGAATGGAATGGAATGGAATGGAATGGAATGGAATGGGAATAGGAATAGGAATAGGAATAGGAATAGGAATAGGAATAGGAATAGAATAGAATAACAGAGTTGGAAGGGACCTTGGAGGTCTTCTAGTCCACCCCCGTGCTTAGGCAGGAAACCCTACACCACTTCAGACAAAGTGGTTGTCCAGTCTTCTTGAAAACCTCCAGGATGGGGCACCCACAACTCTGGTGGCAAGATGTTCCAATGGTTAATTGTCCTCGCTGTTAGGAAGTTTCTCCTTAATTTTGGGAAGTTAATTCCGAGTTGCTTCTCTTTTTCATCTCTCTTACTTTTGGAACCAGTTTTCCTGATGTGATGATGCCCTCTTACTCCCGAAACCCATGGTCCTGTGTCTTTTTCATCGTGTATCTTTCCATCGAGTTGTATTTCATTATGAATTTGGTAAGTAGAGTCTCCGGCCTTTCGTGATCTTTCTCCTGGTTGAAATCTGGGGCTTCAGCACCTTCGCTGCTACGCCAGGCTGTCTCTTTCATACATCTGTAAGAGGAGCCAGTTTGGTCTAGTGGTTAAGGCACCAGGTTAGGAAGCAGGAGACCGAGAGTTCTAGTCCTGCCTTAGGTATAAAAGCCGGCTGGGTGACTTTGAGCCAAGCTGTGAGTTCTAGTCCCACCTTAGCCATGAAAGACAGCTGGGTGACTTTGGGCCAATCACCAGGAGACTGTGAGTTCTAGTCCCACCTTAGCCATGAAAGACAGCTGGGTGACTTTGGGCCAGTCAACAGGAGGCTGTGAGTTCTAGTCCTGCCTTAGTCATGAAAAACAGCTGGGTGACTGGGCCAATCACTAGGAGACTGAGTTCTAGTCCTGCCTTAGCCATGAAATCTGCCTGGATGACTTTGGGCCAATCACCGGGAGACTGTGAGTTCTAGTCCCGCCTTAGCCATGAAAGCTGGCTGGATGACTTTGGCCTCCTTCTCAGCCCAGCCCACCTCACAAGGTTGTTGTTGTGGGGAAAAGAGGAGGAGGAGAGATGCTAGAAGGCCGACTCAAAAAAGGAGTTTCCCAGCTGGACCTAGGGATGGGTCCAGTGTGGTCACACAGTATATGGATTCCTTTGATGTGAAAAATGGACACTCCCGTATTAAAGACTGCTCCAGCTCACTTGAAGAATCAGAGACAGTGATGGGAGCTCTTACTATGTGTATGTTGTGACCTAGGATTATTTTATTTATTTTATTTTATTTTATTTTATTTTATTTTATTTTATTATTTTTTTATTTTATTTTATTATTTTATTTTATTATTTTATTTTATTATTTTATTTTATTTTATTTTATTTTATTTATTATTTTTTTATTTTATTTTATTTTATTTTTTATTTTATTTTATTTGATTTATATGCCGCCCTTCTCCGGAGACTCAGGGCGGCTTACAATGCGTTAAACAATAGCCTTCATACTTTTGTATATTTTATACAAAGTCAGCTTATTGCCCCCACAATCTGGGTCCTCATTTCACCTACCTTTGAAAGGATAGAAGGCTGAGTCATCCTTGAGCCTTGGAGAGATTCGAACTTGCAGTAATTGCAGGCAGCTGATGTTAATAACAGTGCTTTGGACTGCTGCGCCACCAAGGCTCTTTGATTTATTGTTTTAATTTTTGTCAGATGAATGGACACGTCTTTATCCCAAGCATATTTAAACTCATGGTCGACTCACTACCTCCGCTGGAAGTTTCCACTACTTCTTCCTGTGAAGTCATCACCTTCTCACTTGCCGTTTGAAACTTCCCTCCTGCTCAGTTTGAGGTCATTCTTGATTTTTTTTTTTTTTGCTTCACCCTTTCTTTCTCCCATAGCTCCTGGCTGTCGTCTTTGACACCTTCAGTGACATTGAAAAAAGGAAGTTCCGATCGCTATTGCTTCACAAGCGCACCGCCGTCCAGCACGCCTACCGCCTGCTGGTTAGCAAACAGGTAGGTGGTTCTGGACACACGTGGGGTGGGGTGAGGGGAAGGGGGTCTCCAGGAAGAAAAGTGGGGTGATGAGCTGCGAGGCTAACTTTGAGGAACAGGAGGAAAAGCTGCAGGCAGGACAATTGATGGCAGACATCCAGTATTTGAGGGGCTGCCACAAAGAGCAAGAGGTCAAGCTATTTTTTCAAAGCATCTAAAGCAGGGGTCCCCAATCTTTCGCACCTCAGGGTCCACTAAATTCATAATTTTAAATCCTGCGGACCACTAATATGATCTGCCTAATGACCGGCTGGGTGGGCGTGGCTAGGTGGTCATGTGACTGGGTGGGCGTAGCCAACTCGATGTCACTCACATTGAGGAGCGCCTCGCCGGCCTCTACTCGCCCCTCCCCTCCCAGCCACGCCTCGCCTGCCTGCCTGGGCTCCTTAGGGCCCAACAGGAAGCAGTTGTTGGAGCTAAGCAGCCACCATGAGAAAGAGTTGGCAAAACAGCTCAGTTCAAATTGGATCTGGCTGAGAAGGCGTCTCAGCAGAAGCACCTCACTGAGGACTAGGAGCATAGGCTTTCCAAGCAGAGGGAAGACCTGCGGGAGTGCAAGGCCAGTTACCGGCACCTGGAGGCTCAGAGGGCTGAGATGGTCAGCCAGTTCCAGGCCATGATGCAATCCCACTGGAACGAGGCTCTCCGGCTCTTCGCCACCAGCGGCTCTTCCCTCCAGCCTTCGCCCAAAGCCCCCCACCAGGAGGCCAAAGCAGACCCCAAGTCGGAATTTCTGCCCCCCCTCCGACCCACACAAAATGACTCCGAAGGAGGAGACTCTCTGCAGCAACACGTCACCCCCCGGGACACTGCAACCGTCATAAATGCAAGCCAGTTTCCAAGCGTCTGAATTTTGATCAAAAATGGCTAGGGGGATGCTACGACAGTTGTAAGTGTGAAAAATAAGTCACTTTTTTCAATGCCGTTGTAACTTTGAACCATCACTGAATGAACTGTTGTAAGTCGAGGGCTACCTTTAGTAGCTTGCCCTCTGTACGTCCTCCGTGTAACTTCCGTCTTTTGTCTCTATAGAGACCCTCGGGGATTGCTTTCAAGCAGTTTGATGGCCTGATGCGCTACTATGCGCCCCGGATGAACATCCGAGACCGTTATCTGACTTTCAAAGCACTGAGTCAAAGCAACAGCCCTTTGGTCAGGTAAGGATGGAGGTGGGTTTTTTTCTGCCCCATGGAAGAAGATGGAATGAATCTGAAGCTTTCTTTTCCCCAAATAAATCATAGAACTTCAAAACTAGGTGTCAGACCTGCCCTAGTCTGATCCCTTAGAGAAGAAAAACCCTCGACTCCCATTTGGTTGACATGAAAGCAGTGGTGAAATCCAAATTTTTTTATTACTGGTTCTGGTTGGACCTCCATCTGGTTGACGATCTTAACTGGGGCCTATTTTTGGGGTAAGCTTATATTAACGAGCATCCTGAAAAATCATGCTAGGGCTTATTTTCTGATTAGGTCTTATTTTGGGGGAAATACAGTACTAAACTCCTCTGTGTGATTGATGATCTCAACTGGGGCTTATTTTGGGGGTAGGGTTTATATTACGAGCATCCTGAAAAATAATGTTAGGACTTATATTCAGATTAAGTCTTATTTTAGGGGAAATACAGTACTAAACTCCTCCGTCTGGTTGATCATCTTAAACAGGGCTTATTTTTGGGGTAGGGCTTATATTACAAGCATCCTGAAAAATCATGCTAGGGCTTATTTTCCAATTAGGTCTTATTTTGGGGGAAATACAGTACTAAATTCCTCCGTCTGGTTGATCATCTTAAACGGGGCTTATTTTGGGGGTAGGCCTTATATTACGAGCATCCTGAAAAATCATTCTAGGACTTATTTTCTGATTAGGTCTTATTTTGGGGAAAATACAGTACTAAACACCTCCATCTGACTAACCATCTTAAACAGGGATTATTTTGGGGGTAGGGTGTATATATTACGAGCATCCTGAAAAATCATGCTAGGGCTTATTTTCTGGTTGGTTCTTATTTTCTGGGAAACAGGGTAGCTTTTTATCACCCAGGAGAGGGACGTGGTGTGTGTGTGTGTGTGTGTGTGTGTGTGTGAAGGCTTTTTAATGACAGCGTGAGCATCTGGCAGTCTTGTATGCCAAGCCTTTAACACATTTTATATTAAGGCTCGTTTTTTGTCCTAGCAGTGAAATGTTCTTAGAAAAGGAACAAAATCTTTGCTTGAAGATTTGCCTCCCGTTTTTTTTCTTTTTTTGCAAGCCCACATCAGCAAATCTAGTCATGCAGCAGTCTTTTATTTTTAGCTCTCTCTTAGCTGAGTCGGCGTGCACAAACCACTCGCCTGACATGGGTGTTGCAAGCTTTTGCTCAGACTGGGCAAAATCTGGGACTGAGTCCTTAACTCTTGAACTTGGGGGGTTGGGCTTGGGCTTGGGAATCTGGTTGGCAAAATCCGAAGATGTGTTTTGAACCGGAGACTGGAACGTGGGTAGAAAAGGCCCCCACCCTCTTGTCTGTTTCAGTTTGAAGGATATGTACAGTTTCTACGAAGTGGCTGGTTTGAAATGGAAGGTAAGCTGCCAAGTTGGGGTTTGTTTTGGGTGTCTTTGGTTTAGGGGTGCTGGATGGGAGGTGAGCCCCTAGAATGGGGAAGAACAAAAGGGGCACCCTGCGGAGAACAAAGGCTGGGGAGATTTATGGATGGAGGGATGGATGAGAGGAAGGAAGGGAAGGTAGGGAAGGGTGGGAGGGAGGGAGAGAGGAACGGAGGAAGAAATAAGGAAGGATGGAGGGAAGGGAAGGAAGGAAGGAATGAGGAAGAGAGGAGGAAGGAAAGGGTGAGAGAGGAAGGAAGGAAAGAGAGAGGGAGGAACGGAGGAAGAAATAAGGGAAGGAAAGAAGGAAAGGAAGGAAGGAAGGAATGAGGAAGAGGAGGGAAGGAAGGGAGGGAGGGAGGAAGGAAGGAAGAAATAAGGGAAGGAAGGAGGAAGGGAGAGAGGAGGGAAGGAAGGGAGAGGAGGAAGAGAGGAAAAAAGGGAGGGAGGAAGAGGAGGGAGGGAAGGAAGGAATGAGGAAAAGGAGGGAAGAAAGGGAGGAGGAGGGAGGAAGGAAGGAAGGAGGAAGAGGAGGGGAGGAAGGAAGGAAGGAAGGAAGGAAGGAAGGAAGGAATCCTGGAGGGAGAAGGGATCTTAAAGATCCTCTAGCCCAGTCATGAAAATGAACCAAAGCTGTCTGAGGTTTGCTTGCTTTCTTTTCCAGGCCAAAAGAAACCGAGAACATTGGTTCGATGATCTTCCAGGGACAGCTTTCCTCATTTTTAAAGGTGAAAACCCTATAGCGTTTCTATAGAACATAGAATCCTATGGCTGGGAAGGGACCTTGGAGGTCATCTAGCCCAACCCCGTGCCCAAGCAGGAAACCCTCTAGTATTCCTGATAAATGGTTTTTTTCCAATCTCTTCTTAAAAGCCTCCCGTGATGGAGCACCCACAACTCCTGGAGGCCAAGCCATTCCACCGGTTAATTGTTCTCTCTCTCAGGAAATTCCCTCCTTAGTTCTAGGTTGCTTCTCTCCTTGATACGTTTCCATCCTTTACTTCTTGTCCTGCCCTCAGGGGCTTTGGAGAATAAGGCCTCTGTTCTGCCCCAGCTACGGACCCCAAAGAACGCAGCACACACACAAAGTCTGTACAAACCTTAGTTTACTAAATTAAATCAGTCCTTTTTCAAACAAAGGCTGTTAATTAACTTTCTTAACAGCCGACAAGAATCCAAAGAATAAATAATCTTAATCTTACTAGGGTTGGCAGAAAGCCCAGAAGCAATTTGCAGAGAACTAAGATCAAGACGCGAAGGAGAGTGAAGGAAGTTGTTCCCTGCAAATTGCCTCAGTTGGCATTCTTCCTTAAATAGGCTAAGGGAGTGGCCAATTAGCCCCAAGCCTTACTCTCGAGGAGACCTCCTCCTGAGGAGCCACTCCTGCCTTTTGGCAGCTCTGCGCGCCCGTGCATCGAGAAGAGGCTCCTCCTCTTCTTCCTCTTCACCCATGGAAGCTTCTGGAGGTTCTGAAGGCTCTGGCTGAATCCCCGCCTCTGGCACCACATCTTCTCCAGCCTCCTCACTGTCCGACTCGAGTGCCAGCTGCACAGGCTGCTGGTGCAGCACCACACCAGCCTCCTCGCCGTCTGAATCAGCTACTAGCTGCACAGGCCGCTGACGGGCCACAATAGCCTCCAATCCCTTCTTCTCTGTGAGGAAAAAAGGAGAAGTTACCAGCCTGGGGGTATTTCAAAGAAACAGACAAGAAGGATGTTTTTTTTTTTAAAAAAGAAGTATTTAATTGTTTTGCCTTCTCTCGTCTTCCTTTCAACAGGTATTAACATATTAGTGAATTCTCGGGCTTTCCAGTATGGCATGTGTAAGTAAGCCTTCACTCTGTTTGGGGTAGGGGTGAGGAGCTAATGGATAGAGTTACACAGTGTATTAAGCGGAGTTTCATTTTACCACATGCTGACCAGTGATGGAATTCAAATTTTTTTTACTACTGGTTTCGTGGGCGTGGGCTTGGTGGGCGTGGCAGGGGAAGGATACTGCAAAATCTCCACTCCCACCCCACTCCTGGGTGAAGGATACTGCAAAATCCCCATTCCCTCCCCACTCCAGGGGAAGGAAAGGTTTTAAAGTGGATGCAAAATTCGTTTAACGACTTTTCTCTGAACATCTGCCGTTGTGTCTTGCAGATGTTCTGGTGGCTGTGAACGGACTCTGGATTCTAGTGGAAACCTTCATGTTGCGAGGTACGACACCACGTCATTGAACGTCTGCTGACTGAGTCCACCTTCCCTTCCTCCGGACGGGTTTTCAGTTCTCCTCTGAAACTCTCTGCTGTTTCTTTTTTTCAGACGGAATCTTTTCTCGTGACGTCCCCTGGAGTTACATCATGTTCCTCACAAGTAAGTCCTTTAGCAACTTTGGTGTTGTGGCTCCGTCCTCCGAGCCTATCTTATCGGAGGGAGAAGGCTCCGAACATGAAGGAGAGGAGTCGGCCAGGCGTCCCTCTCCAGGCCCCTCCTCTCTGGCACTGCCTCAGGTGCCGGCCGAGGAAGAGGAGATTAGCCAGGAGCCAGGTGTCTCCGATGATAGCGATGGAGGCGATCTGTCGTTCCTGGATCCACGCCAACGAAGGCGTGATAAACGGTTGCAGCAGTTGAGGAGGCGTGCCAGGGATTAGGCTGAGTGTGGTGGCCATTTAAGACTCTGTGACGGACAAAAACTAACTCTGGCAAGTCACTTTGAACAACGCCTAAATCTGCTGAAGGTTTCTTATTTTGAACTGGACTATTTGCAAACTATGTGTATTTCCGTTTAGCTGGTGAAGGGATATTAAGTAAAAGCACTTGGCAGTCGGTGCTCGTCTTGCTGCCAAGTTTCTGATAAACAAACTGTGCGTGCCAAGTGCTTCCTTTAACCCTCGGCTGGCTGTGTGTGTGTGTGTGTGTGTGTGGAGACAGGGACAGAACATTTGGTTTCCAAGAAGGCATCTCTATCTATCTGTAGACATCTTTGAGAGAATAAAAATGTTGAGACATTGGAAGAAAAGAATAAATGGTGTACAATACATTGGGGGTACGGAATGCCGTGGTGGCCTAGAGGTGGAGCTCTGGCCTCACAAATCAGGAGGCTGCGAGTTCGATCCTAGGTAGGGGCAGAGATTTCTCTCTCTCGCCACAATTTATTTATTTATTATTCGAATTTCTATACCGCCCTTCTCCTTTCGGACTCAGGGCAGTGAACAGCCAAAATAAAAGCATTTATACATAAAGTATGATTAAAAATAGATTTAAAATAATTAAATTTGGCCCATAGTTTAAAATTTATCAATTATCAAAATCCATATCAAAATTTAAAACTAACAATGAGAATATATCTGCCGAACAAAACTCCGCATTGGTGACAGGAAGGGCATCCGGCCAGTAAAACATTCAGCTCCATTCAGTTGACTCGACTCCACCCGGCAAGGGATTACGAGGTCATTAAATGACAACAATACATTGGGATACTAATAGAAAAGTATATTTGTAGCTCAGGGTACTCTCTGGCAAATAATAAATGTGTGTAAAATAAACCTTAAAAGAAGTTTTGAAAAGAGAAGTTATCAACGGAAAGCCCGTGTTATTGGACAACGTTGTCCAGTGATTTAAAAACCACAATCACAGCACTTCCCCCTTCTGTGTTGACAGTCTATGGGGTCGAGGTGCTGTTGAAGGTCACCGGCTTGGGGCCGAAAGACTATCTCTCTTCGGGCTGGAATCTGTAAGTATCTCCCCATTTAAGGGATTTGGCGTTGGGGGACTTGTAGGGAACGCAGGTTGCGGATGCCAGGCAGAAAAATCCATTCCTCTCTCTCTCTCCTCTCTCTCGCTTTTTTTTTTTCCCCCCCAGTTTCGACTTTGCCGTCACTTTGTTCGCGTTTTTGGGTCTCCTGGCACTGGCGTTCGATATGGAGCCCTTCTACTTCATTGTTGTGCTGCGGCCTCTGCAGTTACTGAGGTGAAGATATACAGGATGGCTCAGATATCTGTAGAATTGGGGCCGGGGGAGGGGGGGGTTCTTCTAGGTACTGAGAAACTACAAGTCGCAGGATCCCTTGTTCTTGACCTCGCCTCCTCCTCTTTCTCCTCCTCCTCCTCCTCCTCCTCTTCCTCTTCCTCCTTCTTCTTCTCCTTCTCCTCCTTCTCCCTCCTCCTCCTCTTCCTCCTCCTCCTTTTTCTCCTCCTTTTTCTCCTTCTCCTCCTTCTTCTCCTCCTCCTTCTCCTCCTCCTCCTCATCTTCCTCCTCCTCCACTTCCTCCTCCTCCTTCTTCTCCTCCTCCTCCTCCTTCTCCTCCTCCTTCCTCCTCCTTCTCTTCTTCTTCCTCTTCCTCCTCCTCCTTCTCCCTCCTCCTCCTCTTCTTCTTCTTCCTCTTCCTCTTCTTCTTCTTCTTTCCCTTCTTCTTCTCTTTTCTTTCTCTTTCCCCTTCTCCCTCTCCTACTTTCTTTTCCTCCTTCTCCTTCTTCCCCCTCCTCCTTCCGCTCCTTTCTCTTTCTCCTTCTTCCTCCTCTTCCTCTTCCTCCTCCTCCTCCTCCACTTCCTCCTCCTGTTATGATGCAAAATCTTCCTATTCCTGCTTCTCAAGATTGAAGCCCGCATGTTCTTAAAGCACGATACCCGAGGAATTCTGGGAGTACAAGCCCTCCCATCTTAAAGCATGCTGATGGAGGAGTTTTGGAAGTCCACATAATATTCCAAATTGCCGAGATTGGAAAACGCTGTTCTAGACACTCATGCATATATTTTTTTCCCCCTTTCCCTTTATTGCAGGCTGTTTAAATTGAAGAAACGTTACCGGAATGTCCTCGACACGATGTTTGAACTTCTCCCTAGGATGGCCAGGTACAGAGAATGAAAGTTTTCCTGCCTGGATTGGCTGCTGGGGGAATTGAAGTCTACACGTTTGAAAGTTGCAGGAATAGAAACCCATCATTATTGTCATCTTGCCACCCAGTGCTCCATCACTGGAAGTTTTTAAGAAGAGACCCGACAGCCATTTGTCCAGAATGATAGAGGGTCTCCTCCCTGGGCATTGAATTGAATGGTTGCAGGAAGAGAGGCTGTCTAATCTAATGAAGATATGGACTAAGATACAGTAGTGGCCAAAATTGTGGAAAGCTTTTGGGAAACGGTGACTCAATGGCTAAGACACTGAGCTTGTCAATCAGAAAGGTCGGCAAGTCGGCGGTTCAAATCCCTAGTACAGGTCTCCTGCATGACCAGAGAGTCGGACTAGATGACCTCCAAGATCCCTTCCGACTCTTGTTACTGTTAAACATGTATTTTTGAGATTTAATGGCTAATAACATCACTTTTTTGTCTTGGAGTTTCAAGATCATCCTATCCCACTGCTGGAATGGCTTGGGAATAGCCCAGACCTTAACCCAGTTGAAAATTCTATGGAGCTGACTAAAGAAACTTGTTAGTCAGAAGCGACCCAGCAATAAAACCCAGTTAATAGAAGCCATCATTCGACTTTGGTTTCACATTAGAACAGCTGCAGAATTCAAAGACTTGGTTCACTCCATGGGAAGATGTTGTATGTACGTCATTCATGCTAAAGGTTACCCAACGAAGTATTAATTGACATGTTGATCATTTTTGCATATCTTGTTTTTTTCTAGGGTGATCATTTTTGTATAACTCATTTTTTTCTACGTGTTTCTCTTTTCTTCTTTATACTGTAACTGCTACTCTAATAGTTAACCCTTCCTAAAAGTTATGGCATTACATTCTTTATTAAATGATCTTTCCATTGATATATAATTTTATGGTACTACTCCAAAAAAAAAAAAAAAAAAAAAAGTGGTGTTATTAGCTAGTTTTAGAAAATGGACTTTTCCCAAAAGGTTCCCACAATTTTGGCCACTACTGTAAGATAGATAACCTTGATTGTCATTTTTTTTTTCCTTTGGGACTCTGGCACACATTAAAAATAAAATTTTGCAGCCTGCTCTGAAAAGTGATACATAACATACATATAGATATGCTATATACATAGATACCATGTTTCCCTGAAAATAAGACCTGGTCTTATATTTTTGGGGACTCCAAAATAAGCACTATATTTGGGGAAGCACAGTATGCTTTATATACTGTACATACATACATACTAGGAGTGACATGATAGCAGTCTTCCAATATTTGTGGGGCTGCCACAAAGAAGAGGGGATTAACTTAATATCCAAAGCACCTGAAGGCAGGACAAGAAGCAACTGATGGAAACTAATCAAGGAGAGAAGCAACTCAGAACTAAGGAGGAATTTCCTGACAGTGAGAACAATTAACCAGTGGAACAACTTGCCACCAGAAGTTGTGAATGCTCCAACACTGGAAGTTTTTAAGAAGATGTTGGATAACCATTTGTCTGAAGTGGTGTAGGGTTTCCTGCTTGGGGTTGGACTAGAAGATCTCCAGGGTCCCTTCCAATTTATTCTGTTAAAAAGCCACCTTGTTGGATTGCACTTTTCCTAACCCTCTCATTTCTCTTCTAGCCTAGGCCTAACTTTACTCATCTTCTATTACTGCTTTGCCATCGTTGGCATGGAATTCTTCTCCGGAAAACTCTACCCAAACTGTTGTAAGTAAGTATCTCCGCGTTTTTTCTCTCTCTGAAAATATATACATAAATTCAGTTTGCCCATGGATTCAGTTCAGTTTGCTATATTAGAACTGAAGTGACAACCTCTAGTCGCTGAATTTCTCCCACAGTCTTTCAAGGTAGCTCACAATTACCGACCTTTATCAGGCTTGGAGAGTGGCCAGGCTGGTATCTTTCAGACGCCGCAATACTTGGCAAGAATGCAGGAATGAACTAATTGTCTCCTGCAAACTCCACTCCCCTTTCGCTCCTCTTTTATTCCCTCTGGGAGGGGCCCTTCATTGTCCACCTGTGGCCTTACTCCCAGTTGACCCTTGTTCTTTAGCTGTCCTCTTCATCTGGCAACTCTGCGCATGGACAGACTGGGAACAGGCTCCAGCTGTTGGTCTGCCTTGCTGATGTCTGATTCCGAAGGCAGCTGATAACTGTCAGACGGCCCTGGCCCCGTCTCTGCCTCAGACGCAGAGCCTTCATCCGAGCTTTCCCCAGACTCCATGACTGGCCCATGTTCCTCCCCAACCTCCTCACTGTCTGAACCTGCTCCCAGGTCCACTGGCGGGCCACAACAACAGACCACTGTAAAAACAGGTTTTTGAACCCGGGGCAACCTCTCTCTCTCTCTCTCAGTGCGTACTTTCTTATTTTCTCATCCAGCACCAGCACAGTGGCCGATGCCTTTCGTTTGGTCAACCGCACCATTGGGAACAAGACTGTGGTGGACCAAGGCTACTACTATCTCAATAACTTCGACAACATTTTGAACAGTTTCGGTAAGAGCTCCAGAACCTTTTCAAACATTAACTGAACGGGTTTGCAGGGAAGAAATTCTTTCCTTTGTGTTCTTTCTTTCTTTCTTTCTTTCTTTCTTTCTTTCTTTCTTTCTTTCTTTCTTTCTTTCTTTCTTTCTTTCTTTCTTTCTTTCTTTCTTTCTTTCTTTCTGTTTCTATATAGCCGCCCATCTCGGTCAATGACACGAGGAAGCTTACAACTCCAAGAATGGATAAGGGGCCATGTGTAGCTAAAAGTCCAATATTCCAATTCCAATCGTGAGCAAGACAGTTTTCTTCTGTGTTTTTTTTTTTCCTGGTCAAAACCAGGAAAGGGGCAAAAAAGTCAAGATGGCAGGCATAACTCATGATTGAAGCCTTATCCCTTTTATATATAGCAATAGCACTTATATACTGCTTCATAGTGCTTTACAGTCCTCTCTAAGCAGTTTATAGAGTCAGCCTCTTGCCCCGCCCAACAATCTGGGTCCTCGTTTTACTGACCTCGGAAGGATGGAAGGCTGAGTCCTGACTTCAGCCAGTCAGGATCAATCTCTTGGCAGTGGGCAGAGTTAGCAATAGCACATAGACTTATATACTGCTTCACAGTGCTTTACAGTCCTCTCTACGTGGTCTACAGAGTCAGCCTATTGCCCCCAACAATCTGGATCCTCATTTTACTGACCTCGGAAGGATGGAAGGCTGAGTCAACCTTGAGCCTGTCACCGTCGAACTCATGGCAGTGGGCAGAGTCAGCCTGAAATCCTGCATTCTAACCACTGTGCCAACATGGCTCTTTTACTACCAGCTGAAGTTTGCGAATGACCTTCAAGGGTCCTTGAATTGTTTCCTGTTTCTTATCTCTTCCCTTTCACTTTTTTTACGCAGTGACTCTCTTTGAGTTGACGGTAGTGAACGATTGGTACATCGTCATGGTAAGTCTATAGAAACCCTCCCCCCCTTATGCGTTGGAGCTATTGCGTGTCACCTAAATACCGCCATCTTTGAGGCCCTTTCGGTTTGCACGACATTGAAATGAATAAGCCGAAGAAAGTACTGGCAAATATGAGTAATGCTTAGAACCCCATCGACAGCTAAGAATAACTTTGAATGGTCGCTAAACAGATGTTTGTAAGATGAGGATGAACTGAACAAGGCTTATAAATTGGGAAGCGTCGCTTCGTGGTTCCCGTCTACTGCCAATCACGTAAAGATCTTGTTAGGAAATGATGATTACCTAAATTGTTGGATTGGCAATATATAAACCTCAATATAGCGTTAAGACTGTATTGCTGGATTGCATCATACTGTGTCCTGATTGGTTAGCTCTGTAGCCAATGTCCTTAAGAGGAAGCTTGAAACATGGTTTGTTTCTCTCTGCTGATTAGCATTACTCTTTGCTGATCATTATTGCTCTGTGCTGATCGTTATGCTCTGTGCTATTTGCTGTGTTTGCTACTGTTTGCAACTGTTTATTGTGTATGACTACGACGACTGGTAAGAAGACTTTGTTATTGGAATATCCCTGGACTATTGTTTTACTATCTACTGCTTTATCTGTGTATGACCTGGACTGTTTATTGGACTGTGCCTTGTTACTATTTCCTAAAAGTAAACACAACTCAGTGTATCTCTGTGTTGGCTGTGATTATTCGCAACTGCTCTCAGTCGCTTTCATGTGCGCACCCTGGCTACTCTACGGTTGCTCTGCGAATTCCTCAACAGATTTCATTTTCCTCTGGTTTTTTTTTTTTTAGGAAGGGGTCACCTCAGAAACGTCTCACTGGAGCCGTCTGTATTTCATGATTTTCTACATCGTGACCATGGTGAGTAGATCCGAACAAGATCCTTCAGTCACGAGAGGCATCTTCAGATGACGGTTGCCACAATGTCCTTTTTATTTGATTTTTTTTTTCTTTTTGTTTTGTATGTTTTTATTATGGGACGCGGTGGCTCAGTGGCTAAGACTCTGAGCTTGTCTATCGAAAGGTCGGCAGTTCAGCGGTTCGAATCCCTAGCACCGCATAACAGACTGAGTTCCCGTTACTTGTCTCAGCTTCTGCCAACCTACTATGTTTCCTCGAAAATAAGACCGGGTCTTATATTAATTTTCGCTCCAAAAGATGCATTAGGGCTTATTTTCTGGTTAGGTCTTAATTTGGAGGAAATACGGTACTAAATACATCCATCTGGCTGACAATCTTAACTGGGGCTTATTTTGGGGGTAGGGCTTATATTACGAGCATCCTGAAAAATCATGCTAGGGCTTATTTTCCAGTTGGGTCTTATTTTCAGGGAAACGGTAGCAGTGTCAGGTTTCGATGCAGTTTGAAAGCACGTCAAAAATGCAAGTAGAAAAATAGGGACCACCTTTGGTGGGAAGGGAACAGCGTTCTGTGCGCCTTTGGCATTGAGTCATGCCGGCCACATGACCACGGAGACGTCTTCGGTCAGCGCCGGCTCTTCGGCTTTGAAACGGAGATGAGCATCGCCCCCTAGAGTCGGGAACGACTAGCACACATGTGCGAGGGGAACCTTTACCTTTATGTCTTTATTGGAAATGTTTATGGGAAGTAAAAGATAAAACATAAGAATAGATAAAGAAAAGTTAAGAAAAATATAAAAAGGGAAAGTGCAAAGAGCAATACAGGTAGAAAAAAGAAAAACGATAATTAAGGAAGCATCTTGTACTTCCTAAAATACACCCAATTTTTCAGTGGAATTTATTAATTTAGAGAAGAGATTGGACAGCCATTTGTCTGAAATGGTATAGTGTTTCTTGCCTGAGCAAGGGGTTGGACTAAAAGACCTTTAAGATCCCTTCCATCATTCTTCTCTTCTCTTCTCTTCTCTTCTCTTCTCTTCTCTCCTCTCCTCTCCTCTCCTCTCCTCTCCTCTCCTCTTCTTTCTATTATTCTATTCTATTCCATTTTCTATTCTATTCTATCTATTCTATTTTCTATTCTATTCTCTATTTTATATTCTGTTCTATTTTCTGTTCTATTGTATTCTATTTATTTAGCATATGGCATCTACAGTCTAAGTCATGGATTCACCGATAGGCAACACGAATAAAATTCATTATACATAGAAGCACAATTATAATTTGAATACAACATCAGCAGTGCGTGTGTGTGTATGTGTGTAAGTGATGCAAATAATACAATATAGGCGATAATACATTAAATTAAGATAAAGCCAGAATTGAAAGCACCATAACAGCTTGGCCACCAAAAGTCAAGCGACCAAGATGTTAGCAGTCACATTACAACTGACTTTGTATTTTTCTCTCTCTCTCCCGACCACCCCCCCACCCCCAAGGTGGTGATGACAATCATAGTCGCTTTTATACTGGAAGCATTTGTGTTCCGCATGAATTATGCCCGCAAGAATCAGGATTCAGAAGGTATGTGGGAGATATTTGCTCTCTGCTGTATCACAGGACTCCTTTCTATCCGTCTTCCTCCCGTATGTAAGGCTTAGATTAGAATGTCCCAAAAGTGTTTTTTTTTTTTTCTTTTTTCAAGAGGCAACTGGACTTTCTGGTTTTTCTTCGAAGATGTTTCGCTTCTCACCCAAGAAGCTTCTTCAGCTCTGGACTGGATGGTGGGGAATGGAAGGATTTATACTCCTTGCAGACAGCTGGTCATTTGCATCCTTTTTAGAGGGTCGTTGAGGCCACCTGGAGGTTTATCTGTGCCCTTAGAGTCACCTGAGTGGTGCAAATGGTTGTGGAGCCATCTTGAAACTCTTGTGTTGTAGACTGGACATAGATGATGTCGTATCTCTCCCCCTCTGTTGAGAGAGGGCTGTTCAGTTTTGACCCAGATGGCCTCTTGGACCCCTCTTTCAAACCAGCGAGCATCTCTGTCCAAAATGTGGACTTCGCTGTCTTCAAAACAGTGGCCTTTGTCTTTGAAATGCAGATGGACTGCTGAATTTAGTCCTGATGGGTTTCTTATGTCAGGTTTCGGTGTCGTCTCAAATAAATTGCATTTCCAAACAAATAGTCTTTGATGAAATCTTTCATTTATTAAGCACGACAATCTGTTCCCGACTACGTCGTAGCCAACACTGACTTCCTGACCCCAAACCTTCCCTTTCCATTCCCCAATTCTCTGCGTCTCATTGGCCATCTTCCAAATCACTCTCCCCATATCTACTACTTCAGCTCCCAGGAATGTCCCCCTCCCATCCCATCTCGTAGGAGATATTATCTTCAGGGAAAATAAGTAGGTGAAAAGTCAAGCGTCCTCTTGCCAGTTGCCCCCTCTTCTCCTCCTTATGTCAGCACTGGAACGAATGTAGTTTGGATTGCTGACATCTTAATGCAAACGACCAGCTGTCTGCAAGGAGTCAATCCTTCCATTCCCCACCATCCTGTCAGAGCTGAAGAAGCTTCTTGAATGAGAAGCGGAACGTCTTCGGAGAAAACCCAGAAAGTCCAGTTGCCTCCTGCAAAAGCACCTTTGGGACAACCATGACTTGGATGGCTGAGAATCTCTATAGATGTGCCAGGGAATGCTGACTAGCAAACGCCAAATCTGGACATTTTTTTGGGTAGCTCCTTCTCCTCCTGTTATCTAACATCCTTGATTGGTTTCTCCAGCAGAAGACAGCGGGATTGTCTTTGAGCGGGAGGTCTCCAAGGAAGAAATTGGGGGCCTAGCTGAGACCTATGGGAGGCAAGGTGACAACTTGGCAGCTAGCCAACTCCTCAAGGTCGTTTCCCAGATGGACAGGCACCGGGTGAGTCGATGAGACTGGGGACAGCTCTTCAGAGTAGAACATAAAATAGTCCTCCCATCTAGCCGAGATGATCCTTCTAACCATTTATTATGTTCTAATTGCTTTAGCAAACCGCCATGCTGTTCCTGGGCCGACGATCAAGGACCAAAAGTGATTTAAGTATGAAAATGTACGAAGAAGAGATACAGGTAGGTTGGCGCGAGTTGCAGAGGTGGTAACACCTGGAGCTCTCTGGACATCAGTGCCGCAGAGGTTGACTTGGGCAGTAATTTTATGGTGTGTAACTGAAGAGCAGTCTATGCATGGGTACCAATATGCATACATGGACTGCCTGGGATGGGTTGGGATGGGATGAATAGAATAGAATGGAATAGGAAATATGGAATGGAATCAAGTAGAGTAGAGTAGAGTAGAAATTAGAATAGAATAAGAATAGAATGGGAATAGAATAGAATAGAATAGAATAGAATAGAATAGAATAGAATAGAAAAGAAATATGGAATGGAATGGAATGGAATGGAATCAATTAGAGTAGAGTAGAAATAGAAATAAGAATAGAACAGAATTAGAATAGAATAGAATAGAATAGAATAGAATAATAGAAATATGGAATGGAATCAATTAGAGTAGAGTAGAAATAGAAAGAATAGAACAGAATTAGAATAGTAGAATAGAATAGAATAGAATAGAATAGAATAGAATAGAATAGAATAGAATAGAATAGAATAGAATAGAATAGAAAATATGGAATGGAATGGAATCAATTAGAGTTGAGGAGAGTAGAAATAGAAATAATAATTAGAATAGAAAATATGGAATGGAATGAAAGAATGGAATGGAATGGAATGGAATAGAATAGGAAATATGAAATGGAATGGAATCAATTAGAGTCGAGTAGAAATAAAAATTAGAATAGAATAGAATATAAAAAATGAAATGAATAGAATAGAATTAGAATAGAATAGCATAGAATAGGGAGGGGAGAGGGGAGGGGAGGAGAGGAGAGGAGAGGAGAGGACTTAACTGGAAATTATGGGTGCCCTTCCCTGGAGCTTTTTAAGAAATTGGATATTCATTTGTCTGAAATGGTAAAAAGATTTCCTGCTTGAGTGGGGGTTGGACTAGAAGACCTCTAAGGTCCCTTCCAACTCTATTACTCTGTATCCTGTATTTATCCGATTCCTGGCTTGACCTCCACAAACATTTTTGGGGTCCGCCAGGTATCATGGCTCCTGTTTTGTTTTCCCCCTGGGCGGGTGGGCACTCTTGTCGTGGTTTAGCGTCATGACGCTGGTCTTCCGTTCTCAGGAGTGGTACGAAGAACATTCCAGAAGGGAGGAACGAGAGCTTCCTTGGCACGAAGACGAGGAGTTGCTCAACCAGACCTTCCACCCTCCTGCCCTCCGGCAGCGTTCGCAAACCATCATTTAAACTCGGCTTAATCAGGAAAGCCGGTTCTCCTATGCATTGAGCCTGGGCTTGGCAGCGCGGTGGTCTCTTACCAGCCTCCCCTCAATCAGATTTTCCTTTAATGGTCCTAATCTCTTGAAATCTCCAGCCAGGACCCTGAGATCTTGTGAGAAGGAGAAGACAACCATTTTTATCATTACTATTTTTAAAAAATGTTGGTCTTCTCCTTTCTTGGCGTGGGGTGTGTCTGGAAGAACTTTTCACCTTGCGGTCGTTGCAACGGGAAACTCGTGCAAAGTCCTTCCTTGACCGAAGGACCACTGGCCCTTCTTTTGAAGAAGACCTCTTCATTTTTGTCCTTGTGGCTGCTGTGGCAAAAGGCCAGTTGCTGTGGTGGAGCTGGCGTAGATTAGAGGGCTGAAAACCGGCCCCGTTTGCCAGCGGAGACAGCCCAGCAGGAGAGAAAATACAAAATGCATGCATCCTGGCGTAACCCATCACGCCGTCTTCCATCAGCAGTCGAGATCGGCTAAAAAAAATGGCAAGAAGGCCGGTGGAATCGCCAAGCATCAACTACATCGCTCTCTGTAATCCGCGATGCACTAAATGCAGCTGAGTGAAGTAACGCAAATTCGTTTTACACCACTCCTTCGATTTCCACCTCCCACCCCTTCGTTGTTCCTCGGCATCTGTAAAGACTGCTAGTACTCCGGTGACTTGCTTGGCGCAGTTTTTACCCAAACGTAGCAAGGTGCCCAAATGGGCACTTAAAACAGAACCCAGGACCAACTGAGATTCGTAGCATCTTCCTAGCAAAACTGAGTTTTTGGTTCAGTGAAATCCTGGACAGGTTTAAAAGACTCTATCCTGCTCGCAAACTTTGTCCTGCGTTGGCATAACGATTCATTCTGGGATCTGAACATTTGCAGCGGCATCTATCTGAACAGCAACGGGCCAGTAGGCGTTGTATTAAACCCTGAACGAATCCTGCCGAAAAGTAAATTGTATTAACTCCTAAAACGCTGCCAAAGGGGCACTGCATTAAAGCCTGAAGCCCCGATTGCTGATAGGCATGATAGAAAAGCAATAATTCTTGTGACAGAAAAGACAGAAGTGACCTCGGAATCAGGGTGTCTTTATCAGGTTTTATTTCGGATTCCGCTTCCGCAGAAATTCCTTTCGTCGGTTACCAAGCTTGGGGATCTCTTCAGTCGATCTCTCCGCCACGAGGGAAACCCAGCAAGCAGATTTGTCGAGCGTTCTTTGTTTGGCAAACACACAATAGGCAAAGGAGTGTTAAGGTTTTGCCTCCTTCTGTTAATCTCGATTGCTAATTAGCAAACGGTAAACGGAATTTGCTTTTTTTTCCCCCCTGCCAATTTATAAGCAGAAAAAAAAAAGACCCTTGTCCCTTCTGTAATTTTAGGATGGCAAACCTAGAAAATTTGTTTTCTCACGTCTGCTAACTCTGGCGTAATTCCTCGTTTAAAAACAACAGGCTGATTTCCACACTAAATAAATAAATGGAGAAGGGTTGGCTTTGAAGGGGCTAAATTATTTTCCACTTGTTAGAGGGAGGACGAGTTTATTTTACTCCCAAGCTGATCTCCGAATAAGGGATGGGTTTGAGATAAAACAATCACCATAAATGAGATTTCCTTTTCTTAAGCAGCTCAATTTTATGACGGCATCTCCGAATGTACCTCCCTGAGCTACGTTAATGGCTGTGGAAGATTGCCCTTGTAGTCTTTAACACTTAACAGAGGACACCCAGTTGAGGAGATAAAAGAGTTCCTGCACCTATGATGCACTCAACGTCTGTTCTCGTCCTAAAAAAAGAATGCAAATATTTTATAAGGTAGTAGATAGCCACAATTCAGCCACGTCCGTCTGTGGACTTCAACTCCCAGAATTCCTGGGCTGTGGGGGCGACTCTGGGAGTTGAAGCCCACCCATCTGGAGTTCCTCCAGGTTGAAAAAGGTTGCTTTGAGGAGAGGAAAGGGGGCATCTAAAAAAAAAAAAATACATTATTGGTTCAAGAGGGCATTATGTTATCAATTCAGGGAAGCCATTCCTTCCTGCTGTATCAATCAAGTTTGTTAATTCTTTTTTTAAAAAGCGATAGGTTCAAAGGTGGGCATAGCATACTGTAACAACCGGTTTGCCCAGCGGCTCGCCCAGCGAGCGCGCATGAGTGCGTCACAAAACACGGGAATTCGCTCACGCGCCCTGTCCGCACATGTGTCCGGCGTCAAACAACACAGTGATATAGGACAGGATTGTGCCTGGGCACTCGCAGATCGCAACTACCGGTTCGCCCAAACCGGCAGCGGCCCACCACTGGATAGGTTGAAGCAAAAAAACAGATGGAAGGTTTTCTAATAAACATTCATTAGGGCAGGTGTCGGCAACCTGCGGCTCCAGAGCTGCATGCGGCTCTTTGGGCCCTCTGCTGGGACTCCCTGTCGGGTGATCCCACCCCTCGCCCTCCCCTCCCAGTTACTCCTCGCCTGGCCTGAGAAGGAAAGGGCGACGGCAGGGGATGGAGAAGTGGCCGGGGCAGAGACAGAGAGATACAGAGAGAGAGAGGGTGAGGAAGGAGAGAGAGATGTCAAAAGAATTTTGTGGTTCCTGATGTTTTTAACAACTGGTTCTCTGCCCTAATGACCGGCTGGGTAGGCGTGGCTAAGGGGGATCATGTGACTGGTGGAAGTGAGTGATGTCGAGTTGGCCACGCCCACCCAGGTTCTGTGGCTCCCGGTGTTTTCTTTTCTGTGGGAAACGGGTCCAAATGGCTCTTTTGAGTGTTTTAAGGTTGCAGACCCCTGCATTAAGGGATTCGCAATGCTTTGGCGAAAATGGAATTTGAGAATGAGTAAATCTCCCCTTATTTGTGTGTGTGTGTGGGGAAAAAGCTGCCTTTCCCAGGGCTTGCAAAATAATGAATTAAAAAGAAGTAAAATTTTAAAATAGGGAGGAGGTGCCGACGGCGTGTGCCTACAGATCCCCAAAGCACCTTACGTACCCCCCATCAGCCCTTTCTAATTGGAACACACATTTTCCTGGGATTTTTGCAGTGACAATGCACAAACCCTTGGATGAGCTTCTTGACAGAGCTGCCGGCGTTTGTAGGACACACAACACAACTCCAAAGCATGTTGTTTTTTTTTTTTAAGCTTTGGATTTGAAGCGACGCTTAGCTTTGTACATTCTCGGTTTGTTTTATTTTTTTTAAACAGAAACACGGGTGATCCTTATCTGGCTTACTGACCGTTTTGTTGGCGTCACTAAATGGAAATGAATGCTGACCATGTTTATAATTTGGAGTTTTGTTGCTCGTCCGTCAACAACCCAAATTTGGGGTGTGTTTTGCATGCTGCACACACACAGGCCAGTTAATGAGAATCTGTTGGGTACCATTCTAAGCCCATCCTTCGCACAATGGTTTGGCTAAGATCCATGATGTCAAAATCTAGAGTTTAAAGTTTCTCCATCTGGAGAATGTATGGATTCCCCATGCTGGCTGGGGAATTCTGGGAGTTGAAGTCCCCACATTTTCAAATTTGATAAGCTTTGAGAAACCCTGATCGACAGCAATATCCTTTTTCCACTTAGCATCGAGCATGATGGAACGCTGCCGAGCTTAATTTTAGTATTTCAAACACTAATAACTGGAAGGAAACACACTCCTTATTTTGAGACACTACAGTTACGTCACAAATAAGCACTAAATTCTTTTTTTTTTTTTTCCCTACCATCAGCCTGGATAGTAAATGAAAAAGTATATAATTTCAGATTTCCTTCCGCAATAAGAGATGCTGGAAACTCCATACCGAGTAAAATGGGTTATTTTTTTAAAAAAATTTGGCATGTTTTTGTTATTTTTATTCTCGTTTAGGATATAAGCTAGAAACGACTCCAGAAAGTTCTTCTTTTCGGAGTCTCTTGGAAGGAAAACAAAAACTTCAAAAGAACGCAGGGATGTTCCTTCCTAAATAACTTTTTTCTCTTTGCTCTTAAATTCCAAAGACAATCACTCGTAGTGGGGTAGGAAAGAGACGGTGGGTTTTGGATACGGGGAAATTTGTATGACTGATATAACGATGTCTGAAACAGTATTATATAGTTGTTTACAGAACATTTAATAAACCTCTTTAACCCTTTTTCTGCATCTCTCTTTTTATATTTAGGGTATACATGCAGGTAGACTTCGACTTAAAATCATTCATTTAGTAACCATCCAATGTTACGACAGCACTGAAAATAGTAATTGATGTCCATTTTTCACACTTATGACCACCGCAGCATCCCCGTGGTCAAAATTCAGATTCTTGGCAACCGTCTCGTCTTTATGACGGTTGCAATTTCCCCGGAGGTCACACAACCCCCTTTTGCGACCTTCTGACAAGCCAAGCCCATGGGAAGCCAGATTCATTTAACAACCATGCCACCTGCAGTGATTCACTTAACAACTCTGGCAAGAAAGGTCGTAAAATGAGGGAAAACTCACTTTAACAACTGTCTCGTTTAGTGATGGAAATGTTGGGCTCAATTGTGGTCGTAAATCAAGGATTGCCTGTATATTCAACCAATCCATCCAGTTGATAAGTCAAAATCCTGCCTTCTTCCAGACTAATCATTTATGTGTTTTATGAGTAGATTTCCAAACAGGATCCTAGATAGATTTTTTGTGTACGGCTGGACAAAATAAAGACAACATCAAGAAACTATTGCGAGTTGCAAAGAAAAAAAAAGAAGGGGAAAAAAAGGACCCATTATCTCAAACTACCTTCAGGAAAGTTTTTGATTTGTCTCCAGGCATTTGAAGACATTAAGTTTCTTTGGTACCGTGTACCACTTTATTGTCTGATACTCAAGTATTCCAGTACTCAAACCATATTTAATTGTGTTTTGATTGAAATATAAATATATATCCAGGCGTGAAATCCAGCAGGTTCTGACAGGTTCTGGAGAACCGATAGCAGAAATTTTGAGTAGTTCGGAGAAGCGGCAATTACCACCTCTGGCTGGCCCCAGAGTGGGGAGGGAATGGAGATTTTGCAATATCCTTCCCCCAGGAGTGGGGAGGGAAAGGGGATTTTGCAGGATCCTTCCCCCAGGAGTGGGGAGGGAATGGGGGTTTTGCAGGATCCTTCCCCTGCCATGCCCACCAAGCCACGCCGACAGAACCGGTAGTAAAAAATTATTATTCTCTGTGGGTGCTCCCACCCTCTGGAATGAATTACCTACCGAGCTCCGGACGGCTCCTGATGTCCGTTCCTTCCGTCGGGACCTGAAGACTTGGTTGTTCAAACAAATAGGCTGACTCTGATTCCGGGCTTTATTATTTACTATTAATTAGTTATTTGGTTTAAAATGGGATTTTATTGTACTTGTTTCTTAACTTGTGTCTGCTGCCCTGAGTCCTTCGGGAGAATGGCGGCATATAAATACACGTAATAAATAAATAGTAGGCCTTTAAAACCTACCTCTTTCAGTTAGCCGGGCTGTCCTTATTTTATGATGGGGTTTTTAAAATTTGAAATTGGTTTTTCAATTGAAATGTTTTAAATTATGGGCCAAATTATTTAATTATTTTAAATCTGTTTTAACTTTTGTATATAAAGTGTTTTACTTGGCTCTTCAACGCCCTGAGTCCGAAAGGAGAAGGGCGGTATAGAAATTTGAATAAACAAACAAACAAACAAACAAACAAACAAAAATAAATAAATAAATAAATAAATAAATAAATAAATATTTTTTAAAAAAAAAACTTGGGAGTTTCACAGAAACATCCAAATGCTGGAATTGATCGATGCTCTTTATTAGTTAAATTGACAACTTACATCAAAATGGGAAGGTAAATAACAGCATTTGGGTTCTTTGAGGTAGATCATTAAACATAGACAAGCTCAAGCGGAAGTTAAATGTATTTACAGAAATGAGCAAAGTTGTAGAATCTGGGCCACCATCCCTTAACTTTTCCCTTATTCTCCAAAGCACCTGAGGGCAGGAGAAGAAGCAACGGATGGAAACTGATCAAGGAGAGAAGCAACCTAGAACTAAGAAGGAATTTCCTGACAGTCAGAACAATTAACCGGTGGAACTGCTTGCCACCGGAAGTTGTGGCTGCTCCAACGCTGGAAGTTATGAAGAAGAAATTGGACAACCTCTTGGTTGAAAAGAAACCTAGGAGCGAAGCCTGCTTCAGTATTTCTTCTAGCTGACGTGTGGATTGTGAAGTCAGTTTTAAACAGCCAGCCACTTGTCAACAGCTTGGTCAACGCCCAGCCTGTGTAATTGCTGACTTAGGCTGATTTGAAATCCACGGGCTGTCAGTGACAAAAGACAAGAGGAACAGCAAAAGGCACAAAGAGAGAGAAGAAAAGGAAGGAAGGAAGGAAGGAAGGAAAGAGAAAGAAAGAAAGAAAAAGAAAGAAGAAAGAAAAAGAAAGAAAGGCAAGGAAGGAAGGAGAAAGAGGCAAGGAAGGAAGGGAAAGAAAGGGAGGGAGGAAAAAGGAAGAAAAAAGAAAGGGAAGGGAAAGAAAAAGGAAAAGATGGATGGAAGGAAGGACAGGAAGGAAAGAAAGAAAAGAAAGAAAAAAGAAAAAGAAAGGCAAGGAAGGAAGGAGAAAGAGGCAAGAAAGGAAGGGAAAGAAAGGAAGAGAAAAAGGGAGGGAGGAAAAAGGAAAAAAAAGGGAAGGGAAAGAAAAGAAAGGAAAAGATGGGTGGAAGGAAGGACAGGAAGGAAGGAAAGAAAGAAAAGAAAAAAAAAGGCAAGGAAGGAAGGAGAAAGAGGCAAGGAAGGAAGGGAAAGAAAAAGGAAGAGAAAGAAGAAAGGGAGGGAGGAAAAAGGAAGAAAAAAGAGGGAAGGGAAAGAAGAAAGGAAAAGATGGAAGGAAGGACAGGAAGGAAGGAAAGAAAGAAAAGAAAGAAAAGGCAAGGAAGGAAGGAGAAAGAGGCAAGGAAGGGAAAGAAAAAGGAAGAGAAAGAAGAAAGGGAGGGAGGAAAAAGGAAGAAAAAAGAGAAAGGGAAGGGAAAGAAAAGAAAGGAAAAGATGGAAGGAAGGACAGGAAGGAAGGAAGGAAAAAAGCAAGAAAGAAAAAGTCAAGAAGAACATATTAAGCCCCGGTGCACAGCCAGGTGGATACATCCCCCCCCCAAAAAAATTAATCTGTTCATAATTGTATGTATGTCAGAGTGCAAATTTAAGACATCACGATTGACTTCGCAGAGAAATAGACAAAAGGAATTTTAAAAAGATTGTTCGGCGAGGACTTTTCCTGCAAACAAGCCCACTGGTTTGAAGTGCATAAGGAGCAATGTCTTTGATCGTATTAGGTATAGATAATCCTATTTGCTCACCCGTCCCAAGAATAGAAAAGAGAAAGAGGAAAATGGGGAAGAGGAAACTAAAAACTACTTTCAAGGGCATCAGAAAAATAGGAAGGGGACAAAAAATTGGTCATCAAAGTTGCGTGCTTGCAATGCATTTGGCACCCAAGCACAATTCTTGTTTTTCCCCCTTATTCTGATGAACAGGTCTGGAAGGTACGGATAGAAGAGAATATTTGAAGCTGCCTCCTAGCATTGATGACGTTACCTAGTTAGGTAATGAAACGTTTGCAAAAAACGCCACCAAGCTCAGAGAACACCAAGGACTCTGGAAGGACTTCCATCCCTGCCTTCAGAAACAATAAAAGCTGCCCATTGTTTTAAGTCACAAGCTTTTTTTTTTTTTTTTTGCTTTAATTTATATGCCGCCCTTCTCCGGAGACTCAGGGCGGCTTACAATGCGTTAAGCAATAGCCTTCATACTTTTGTATATTTTATACAAAGTCAGCTTATTGCCCCCACAAACTGGGTCCTCATTTCACCTACCTTAGAAAGGATGGAAGGCTGAGTCAACCTGGAGCCTGGTGAGATTCGAACTTGCAGTAATTGCAAGCAGCAGATGTTAATCACAGTGTGCTTTAGTCCACTGTGCTACCAAGGCTTGCAAACCCTTTCCCTTTTTTCCCGACAATATTGGCTGCGTTCCCAAGGCACGCTTTTCCTGGTCAGTTACAATACCTAGCGGTTTCATTCGTCTGTCCGTCCGTCCCCCCCCCTCCAATCTTTGATGGTTTTTTTAATCCTAATTTTAGTTTCGTAGTGTTGGATAAACCCAATCCGTTCAGCTGATTTGCAAGTCAGCGCGGCGTCGTGCAAACCTCAAAAGTGGGTCAATGCAATAAGGCGGAGAAGCATGCTAGCGAACATTCCTCCCCGCTCCCCCAGGTTATCTGTTTTCCACAGGCAGTTGGCAGTGAATTCCATGGTGCTTTCATGTCGTGGTTTTGCTCTGCATTAATTCAGCAGCAAATCTACTGGTAGGCCTCCTTTACGAATGGATCGTAAGGCCGTGTGTAGCGAAAAGTCAGTATTCCCGATTCCAACCGTGAGCAAGAGAGTTTCCTTCTGTGTCTTTTTTTTTTCTTTTGCCCCAGGAAAGGGGCAAAAAAGTCAAGATGGCAGGCATAACTCATGATTGAAGCCTTATCCTATATATATATATATTGCTCCTAGAAGCACGAAGCCGAAAACACCAGCCTGAAGATGACGAATGAGACTTTGTTGAAACGTCGCCAAGACACTTCCAATTTTACGTGGGAGAAAAACCGAATAACCAAAGACCTACATACAAACACCCGCGAAAACCGGTTCTGTGAAATCTCATTCACAAGCTGTTGAGAGTTCTGCTCTCTGTTGAGAGCAACACAGAGTTGCAGTTTGTCAACAGAAAAAAAGCCCAGAAGCTTGTGAATGAGATTTCACAGAACCAGGGCTGCAGAACAACTCAGTTTACGTAGGTAAAACCTGGCTAGAAAAAATATGCATATATATATATATATATATCAATAGCACTTAGACTTATATACCGCTTCATAGTGCTTTACAGTCCTCTCTAAGCGGTTTACAGAGTCAGCCTCTTGCCCCACCCCAAAATAATCTGGGTCCTCGTTTTACTGTCCTCGGAAGAATGGAAGGTTGAATCAACCTTGAGCTGGTGAAAATTGAACTTCTGGCAGCTGGCAGCGTTATCTTGCAATATTGCTTTCTAACTACTGTGCACCAAGGGAGGGAAGGAAGGAAGGAAGAAAGGAAGGAAGGAAAGGAAGGAAGGAAGGAAAGGAAGGAAGGGAAAAGGGAAGGAAGGAAGGAAGGAAAGAAAGAAGGAAGGAAGGAGAAAAGAGCAATAGCAATAGCACTTAGACTTATATACCACTTCACAGTGCTTTTATAGCCCTCTCTAAGCGCTTTACAGAGTCAGCCTCTTGCCCCCCCACCAATCTGGGTCCTCATTTTACCCACCCCGGAAGGATGGAAGGCTGAGTCAACCTTGAGCCTGGTGAGATTTGAACAGCCAAACTGCTGGCAGCCGGTGATCAGCAGAAGTAGCCTGCATTCTAACCACTGTGCCACCGTGGCTCTTTTATATGTGTATAAAAGATATATCTTTCATATATACTGTGTTTCCCTGAAAATAAGACATCCCCCAAAATAAGCCCTCCCCTGAAAATAAGCCCTCCGCTGAAAATATTTAACCACATGTGCAGCCGGTCCCCGCTATTTCCTCTGGTTAGGGTTAAGGGGACAGAGCTGGAAATCAGGTAAGACGGCAAGAGGAGCCCCGTCTTTCTCCATGCGCCCCAAAATAATAAGACCTCCCCAAAAATAAGGCCAAGCGCTTATTTCAGGGTTCAAAAAAATATAAGGCAGGGTCTTATTTTCAGGGAAACACGGTGACTCATATATATATGAGTCACGGAGACACCCCTGCTACTGAACAGAGGTAAGAGTAGAGTGGGGTAGGGTAGGGTAGGGTAGGGTAGAGTAGAGTAGAGTAGAGTAGGGTAGGGTAGGGTAGGGTAGGGTAGGGTAGGGTAGGGTAGAGTAGCGTAGCGTAGGGTAGGGTACAGTAGGGTAGGGTAGAGTGGAGTAGAGTAGGGTAGGGTAGGGTAGGGTAGAGTAGAGTAGAGTAGAGTAGAGTAGGGTAGGGTAGGGTAGGGTAGGGTACAGTAGGGTAGGGTAGGGTAGGGTAGAGTAAAGTAGAGTAGAGTAGAGTGGATGAAAAATTCCCTACATACCTGAGGGACGCATTCAAGCTTCAGTTCAGGAACCGAAAAATACTTCTAACGAACCTCGTTTCTTAAAAAGGATACCTTTTTTTTAAAAAAAATTTCTATCTATATTTGGAAAAGCTAACACTGTTGGGGGTGGTTGGAGCGGGGAGGGGGGACAAACGGTGTCTCACGGGTTGTCTAATCTTGAATTTGGCTCTAAAATCCCCAAATCGCATCCAAAGGATGTGAAACCGCTGGCTTGTCGGTCGCAGCGCCACAGCCATGGCGTCCAGTTTTCACTAATCATCCTTCCCGCCGTGTGGCCAGCATCCGATCTGGGTACCGAGTCCTATTCGAGACCTTGCCAGCAAGTCTTTGTCCCCGAAAGGCACCATCTTCAAGTAAATCACAGGGTTGAGGGCAGATCCAACAACCTTGGGAGACGTTGGGGAGACCTTCAGAGGAGAGGCTCCGTTCAGAAGCTGGAAATTCGGATCACCCCGAACTCGGTTAGCAGCGCGATGGTTAGGAAGACCATGTAGTAGGCTATGAGGCAGTAGCCATAAGCTGATCCCAGATGGAAGCACTGGGCAGGCACCGAAAGGAAAGAAATGACCAGGCTGAGGCCCAGGGCACCTGCTAGAATCCATACCAAGAGGCCGTCTGACTCGAGCTGCAAAGAAAGAGAAAAAGAGCAAATTAGAGTAGTGTAGTGTAGTGTAGTGTAGAGTAGAGTAGAGTAGAGTAGAGTAGAGTAGAGTAGAGTAGAATAGAATAGAATAGAATAGAATAGAATAGAATAGAATAGAATAGAAATAAGGAGTAGAGTAGAACAGAGCAGAATAGAGTAGAGTAGAGTAGAGTAGAATAGAATAGAATAGAATAGAATAGAATAGAATAGAATAAATAGAATAGAATAGAAATAAGGAGTAGAGTAGAGTAGAACAGAGCAGAGTAGAGCAGAGTAGAATAGAATAGAATAGAATAGAATAGAATAGAATAGAAATAAGGAGTAGAGTAGAGTAGAACAGAGCAGAATAGAATAGAATAGAATAGAATAGAATAGAATAGAATAGAATAGAAATGAGTAGAGTAGAGTAGAACAGAGCAGAATAGAATAGAATAGAATAGAATAGAATAGAATAGAATAGAATAGAATAGAATAGAAATAAGGAGTAGAGTAGAGTAGAACAGAGCAGAATAGAGTAGAGTAGAGTAGAGTAGAGTAGAATAGAATAGAATAGAATAGAATAGAATTCTTTTATTGGCCAAGTGTGATTGGACACACAAGGAATTTGTCTCCAGTGCATAAGCTCTCACTGTAGATAAAAGCTATAAGTGATAAATCATGATCATAGTAATCATAAAAGATACCTTCCTCATAAATCACAAGATACAACACTTAGCGATAGTCATAGGATGCTAAATAAACAATCAACATACATCCTACTAAGGCCGTGATGGCGAACCCATCAGCTGTTGGCTGTTGGCACGCAACAGCAAAAAGGTTAGCCATCACTGTACTAGGGTAATGAAACGTCTGCAAGAAAAAACACCAAACTCAGAAAGCACCAAGGACCCCATAGTTCTCCTCCTCCTCCTCCTCCCTGCCAACCTCACTCCCTTCTATCACTGATGATGTTACCTAGTAGGGTCATGAAACGTCTACAAGAAAACCACCAAGCTCAGAAAGCACCAAGGACCTCTCATTTCAACTCTTGAGCTACACACATTCTCTTTTATGTCTGTTTGCACCTCCTCCATTAGAGGAGAAGCAATTCACCCCCCCCTTCTACTTCGGCAGGAAAAAATATCGCTCATCGGCTTTTCCCCCTTCGGGAAAGAGCCGGGAGGGAATAAAGGCAGCAAAGAAACAAAATACACAACACGACACAGATGTTTCATACCCTCACTACCCATTTGCTGCTTGACATTTGCAAAAGGCAGCCCAGCCCGACGCCGACAAGCATATCTGGGAGCGAGTTCAGGAGAAAAGATTCGACTAGTTCAGGGGTCTGCAACCTTAAACACTCAAAGGGCCATTTGGACCCGTTTCCCACAGAAAAGAAAACACCGGGAGCCACAAAAACCCTTCCCGTGCCTGACTATTTCTTGAGCGGCCACAAAACTAGCATCTGTAGTTGAATTAAACGTTCTGTTTTCTTCTGAAACTTTTCTTTTCTTGGATTTATCCATGGTTATTGAAAAGCTCAATAAATCGTGTGCCAGCAAGTGTCACACATTGGCAGCTGTGAGTGATATTTTGAGCGACAGGGAGCCGCAGCAGAGGGGTGAAAGAGCCACATGCGGCTCCAGAGCCGCAGGTTGCTGACCCCTGGACTAGTTTTATTGGCCATGCAACAACCAGTTTTGGAAGAGGCTGATTAGAAAAGAGCTACGGTGGACGTCGAATCTATTATTACTTTATTATTATTATTGGGTTGGGAATTGAATGTATCGTTTTTATTATTATTCTCTTCAAACAGCTGCGATCTTCCAGCTGTGAAATGGAGGCTGCAAAATGCAAAAACCAGCATTTGGGGCCGAAAGGTTGAGTATTCAAGCAGTCCTTGAGTTAGGACTGTAATTAGAATAGAATAGAATAACAGAGTTACAAAGGACCTTGGAGGTCTTCTAGTCCAACCCTTAAAAGAGTGAAATTGAAGGTCTTGGATCTGGAAACTTCTTGCATTCGCTAAGATGTTTAACAGATTAACAGAGTTGGAAGGGACCTTGTAGGTCATCTAGTCCAACCCCCCGCCCAAGCAGGAGACCCTACACCATTTCTCTTCTTGAAATCCAGATGGCAGTCCAGTCTCTTCTTGAAAGCTTCCAGTGATGAAGCTCTCACAACCTCCGAAGGCAACTTCTGTTCCATGGGTTGATGGTTCTCCCTAACAGATAATTCCTCCTTATTTCCAGGTTGAATCTCTCCTTAGTCATCCATTCGTTATTCCTTGTTTGGCTTTGGAAAACAGGTTGAGCCCCTCCTCTCTGGGGCAGCCCCTGAGATATCGGAAGACTGCTATCATGTCTCCCCTAGTCCTTCTTTTCATTAAACTGGACACACCCAGTTCCTGCAACCGTTCTTCCTATGTTTTAGCCTCCAGTCCCCTATAATCCTCTTTGTTGCTCTTCTCTGCACTCTTTCTAGAATCTCCACATCTTTTTCACATCGTGGCGACCAAAACCGGATGTCGTATTCCAAGTGTGGCCTTACCAAGGGATCATAAATTGGTGCTAACACTTCACGTGATCTTGATTCTATCCCTCTGTTGATGCAGCCTAGGATTGTGTTGGCTTTTTTGGCCGCTGCGGCACACGGCTGGCTCACATTGAAATGATTGTCCACTAGGACATAACAACCTCCTTGCTTGGAATTGAGCCCTGCAATTCTGGGAAAAGGATACTGAAGATAATACCCCCAAAACAGGCTGAAAAAGCCATCCGGGGGTAACCTTGCCGGGCCATGGTGAGGTCGGAGAACATGTCTGTTGGGAGAAAGAGAAGACAGGCTCAGCATTCAGCATTCACTTCTGGAATAGAGGCAGTCCTTGATTTACAACAATTCATTGTTCCTGACTCTAGTGTTATGGAATGGGATGGGACCAAACAACATTCCTGGGTCAGCCAGAGACAGTTTATTGCGCAGTTTCAGAACCAGATTTGTATCTGCAATTCTGAACCAAGAAGAGCTCTGATACAACTGCTTTTATACATCTCCAAGACAAAGGATTTTGCAAGCCCAGCACTTTTCCATATATGGTTAACATACATTTGTTGCATTATAATTGACACTTTCTAATTACTAAATTCTTTCATTATTTTCTAGTTCATGAGATTATTTTAGCTAAACAACCTTCCTCAATTCTGTGTTTGCTGATGCGTAGATTCATGACTGCTTTTGGATAATAATTAACTTTTTGTTTCAGATGGATGTCTCTGCATCCTTGACAGATAGGCCCCTCGGAAGATATATATTACATATGGATGTCCTTGCATCCTTGACAGCTAGGCCCCTCAGAAGATATATATTACCAAGAATGGAATTTAGCTGACCTAGTGTAATCTCTAAACAAGCACATTTCTTTCTTATAATAATGTGAATAAAGAGGGTCCTTCAGTGTTCATATAGCTGATCCTGTACTATTCCTACATCATTCACATTACTAGGGGGCGGTGCTCATCTCCGTTTCAAAGCCGAAGAGCCAGTACGGTCCGAAGACGTCTCCGTGGTCATGTGGCCAGCATGATTCAAGGCCAAAGGCGCACGGAACACTATTCTCTTCCCACCAAAGGTGGTCTCTATTTTTCTACTTGCATTTTTTTTTAACGTGCTTTCGAACTGCTAGGTTGGCAGAAGCTGAGACAAGGAACGGGAGCTCACCCTGTTCCATGGCACTAGGGACTCGAACCGCTGAACTGCTGACCTTTTGATCGACAAGCTCAATGTCTTAGGCACTGAGCCACCACGTCCCAATCATAGCTGGAGACACCTATAGGACAGCTTGTTTTACTTACCCCCGATGCTGTTTCCCCAGGCGAGCAGTGTTAAGCCCAAGACGGTGTTGCTCAGGTGGAAGATGATGCCCAACGTCTGCAGGATATTCACCACTTCCGTGGCTGCGGCGTTGATCCACATGGCGCTGACGAAGAATCCCAGGAAGGCAAACAGCTGTTGCCAGAGGGAAGGAAAGGAAACTCAGGAAGAGAGAGCAATGAATTCACCCTTCCCGTTAAATCGCGGTTTTGTTTTAGTATTTCCTGCGGTATAAGCTGGGGTCAGTCTTGCAGTCCAGCAAAGTAATTTCAAACTTTTCTTCCTTTCCTTTCCTTTCCTTTCCTTTCCTTTCCTTTCCTTTCCTTTCTTTTCCTTTCCTTTCCTTTCCTTTCCTTCTTTCCTTTCCTTTCCTTTCCTTTCTTTCCTTTCCTCTTCTTTCCTTCTCTCTTTTCCTTTCCTTTCCTCTTTCCTTTCCTCTTCTTTCCTTTCCTTTCCTCTTCTTTCCTTCTTTCCTTTTGTTTCCTTTCCTTTCCTCTACTTTCCTTCCCTTTTCTCTTCTCTTCTTTCCTTTCCTTTCTCTCTCCCTCTCTCTCTTTTTCTTTCTTTCTTTCCCTTCTTCCTCTCTCTCTTTCTTTCTTTTTAGCCTGGTATCTTAACCATTAGCAGAAATTAAGTTAGTTTCTTTCTTTCTCTCTCTTTCTTTTTTCTTTCTTTCCCTTCCTTCTTTCTTTCTCTCTCTCTCTCTCTTTCTTTTTAGTCTGATGCCTTAACCATTAGCACAAATAAGTTAGTTTCTTTCTTTCTTCCTTTCTCTTCCTTCCTTTCCCTTCCTTCCTTCTTTCTCTTTCTTTCTTTCTTTCTTTCTCTTTCTTTCCTTCCTTCTTTCCTCTTTCCTTCCTTCTTTCTTCCCTCCCTCCCTTCCCTTCCCTTCCCTTCCTTTCCCTCCTGCCCAGTCTCTCTGAAAGATGTTTTTTTCTCGAACCTCTGGAGATTGGGAAAGACATAGAAGCAAAATCAACAGAAACCCCCACCAGAAATCATGTTCTCGCCCCTGCACACATGCATCATTTTAAGCCACAGCTGCAAGGAGCAACGCCAACAGGAAGCAGTGGTTTATCATGCTAACTGACAATAAATACACTTAAAAACACATATTGTGGCTTCCTACAGCTTTCCTTAACCCAAGCATCCTCCAGATGTGTGGATAAAGCGTGACAACTGCTAAGGATTCTGGGAGCTGAAGTCCACGTATCTGGATTGAGAATCTTGGATTAGAATCAGCTGGTTGCACAACCTCTCCTCTTGTTGCATTCACATTTTTGAAGAGGGTGGGCAATTTGGCTGCAACATGACTATGAGATGAGAGAGGAACAGCTGCTGAATACAGAAAATTTCAGTCTGAACTGCTTCCAAATATCCCATTTGGAGCCAGGGAGGGGGAAAAAAATAGCGTGTTTTGAGCAGAATGGGAGTATCCCAAACTCAAAAAGAGGAGCTATTTTGGGCTAAAGACAAAAATGCTCAGAAGTGCCCATTTTGCATTTAAAATGGGATCTTTGCATCTGAGATACCTCCAGTCAAAACGCTTTCCGCATCCTAGCACGGAAGTCCAGAAAAGGAATTTGAAAAGTAGACATTGACATGGACAGGCAAAAAAACAAAAAAAACAAAAAAAAAACTCAGAATTGTTCACTTTTCATTTCTCCCCAGAGAAATGAAGCAAATTTTGTTTTTATGACCGAAAGAGCCTATTTTAAGACCAAAAGGCTCCAAATATTTTGCCTCCAACACTGGAAGCTTTTAAGAAGAGGTTGGATAACCATTTGTCTGAAGTGGTGTAGGGTTTCCTGCCTAAGCAGGGGGTTGGACTAGAAGACCTCCAAGGTCCCTTCCAACTCTGTTATTCTATTCTATTCTATTCTATTCTATTCTATTCTATTCTATTCTATTCTATTCTATTCTATTCTATTCTATTCTATATTCCAATATCTATTCTATTCTATTCTATTCTATTCTATTCTATTCTATTCTATTCTATTCTATTCTATTCTATTCTATTCTATTCTTCTATTCTATTCTATTTTATTCTATTCTATTCTATTCTACTCTATTCTATTCCATTCTATTCTATATTCCAATATCTATTCTATTCTATTCTATTCTATTCTATTCTATTCTATTCTATTCTATTCTATTCTATTCTATTCTATTCTTCCAAGTGCGATTTCAAGGAATTCTCCTTGAACATAAAAAAAGAAGTCCAGTTCTCAAATCTCCATTATTCCATTCATCAGTTCTCCATTTCTGCTTCCGTTCTATTTTTTGATACGTGCAACACGTCTGGAGGAGGCTTTCATTGGGAAAGGAATCGATGGACCGGCCATTAGTTAAGAGCTGGTTTCCACATCCCTATTACGATCAGCTCAGGCTTGGCCTTTCATCTTTGTGGGAATCTAGGTATGATTGCTTCCTACATCAGCTGGGAATGGTTTTGGCAATTTCAGAAGCCGAAGGTGGGGGAATGTCTAGACCGAATTTCACAAGAGGCATTCCGACCGCATCTCAAGTGCTCGCGCAAGACTCACAAAGTGGCACCTGGGAGGTTCTCCATTCCTGGTGACGCAAAAGAGAACGGCAGCCAACGTAGCTCCTACCAGGACGACGAGACCCCAAACTGGGAAGACTCCCTGGAGCTTGTAGAGACCATCTGCAACACAGATATTGGAAGATGGCTGTCGTGTCCCCACTTCTCAGGGGTGAAATGCTCCCGGTTTAGACCGGATCGCCCAATCCGGTAGCGATGGAGACGGGTGGTTCAGAGAACCGGTAGCAAAAATCCCTGCCCTCCCCATGCCCAGTTAATAAAACCCAGTTAACAGAAGCCATCATTCAATCTTGGTTTCACATTAGACCTAAAAGACTTGGTTCACTCCATGGGAAGACGTTGTAAGGCCATAATTCATGCTAAAAGTTATACCCAACTAAGTATTAACTGACATGGTGAACATTTTTGTATATCTCGTTTTATATATCTCTGGACTGTGTAACCTTCATGGCTCTTTCATACATTCCCCAACTTAGCTCAAAATTCCTTTCTATTCCGATTTCTAATTTCCAGTTCTCACACCTGTAAGGTTCCCCTTCTAACTGGGAGTACTGGAAAGTGAAATGGAGACGATTTATACACCAAGGGGCATTCAAGATTAAGAAAGATTCCTTCCTCCTTCTCACTTCCATCTTCCCAATCATCATCTTCTTTTAAAGAATCCCAGGTAATGAAGGTGGAGTCTTGGGCGACTGAATGGAGCTGACTGTTTACTGGCCGGATGCCTTTCCTGTCCCCAATGCGGAGTTATATTCAGCAGATATATTCCCAACGTGCCCAGAGAGAGAAATATCTGCCTCTACCGAGGATCGAACTCACAGCCTCCTGATTGTAAGGCGAGAGCTCCACCTTTGGGCCACCGCACCACTCAGCCATCCTCCCAATACGCAGCCCAGTTTGTAACGGAAAGGTGGAAACTTACAGGTTCCAGATTTCAGGGCGAGAATGCAGATGAGTGGGCCGGTGACCAGGTGCAGACAATTCAGCGGCCTTTTCCAGTTTTGGTCATCCCGGTCAGGATCAACAATAGGTACTGTCAGTAAAAGGACCAATTCCACAGGAAGCTGTAGGGAGAAGAAGCTATCAGCAAGTCGCCCAGATTAGAGATTGTTCTGCACTTCTGCAGAAGGTGAGACTAGAACTCCCAATCTCCTGGTTTTTGAACCTGGTGCCTTAACCATTCGTTAGAGAGGGCTTTATTGCTGAGAAGGAAAAAGATCTGGAAGCTCTCTAAGCTCAGTTGTTTTTTTGCAACATTTCATTACCAAACTAGGTAACATCATCAGTGCTAGAAGGGATTGGGGGTTGCAGAAAGGAGGAGAAGGAAAGGGAAAGAGGAGGAGGAGGAGGAGGAGAAAGAGAAGGAGGATTGTTGGTTCCTTGCTGCTCTTTGAGCGTGGTTGTTTTCTTGCAGACCTTGTATTACTAACGTTATCATCAGTGCTAAAAAGGAATGGGGTTGTGGAGTGGAGGAAGAGGAAGAAGAGGACTATGGAGTGTGTGGTGCTCTCTGAGCTTGGTTGTTTTCTTGAAGACATTTCATTACCAAACTAGGTAATGTCATCAGTGCTGGAAGGGAGTGAAGTTCACTCTCTGTTTATATACAAGCAGTTTTTCAAGGAATCACCAACCCGGACAATCAAACATAAAACAATAGCCTTAATCAAGGGACCACTAAGAACATTAAGGAGCCTTGGTGGCGCAGCAGGCTAAAGTGCTGTTAAGTAGCACCAGCTGCCTGCAATTACTGCAAGTTCAAATCTCACCAGGCTCAAGGTTGACTCAGCCTTCCGTCCTTTCGAGGTAGGTAAAATGAGGACCCGGTTTGTGGGGGCAATAAGCTGACTTTGTATAAAAAAAGAACACCGCTTAGGGGGGGCCGAAAGCCCTACTAAGCAGGTACATACAAAAGTATGAAGGCTATTGCTTAACGCATTGTAAGCCGCCCTGAGTCTCCGGAGAAGGGTGGCATATAAAGCGAAACAATAAATAAATAAATAAACATCCCCCACGTCACCGACAGAGCAAGGTGGAATTTGAACTCATGGTTCTCTTGCTTTTTTAGACTGAGGCCTTAACCACTTAGACCAAACTGATGTTTTTAAAACGTCGCTGTTCCTTATGTTCCGGATTGAGTCACCACCTTCATCACCACAAGAATTGCGAAGGGGTCTCGGCTCTGTCTGTAACTTTACACCTTGGAAACCACAAACGTGTGAAACCGAAGGAGCTGCATTTATTATCGGCAAATGGGGAACGACTGTTTCGTGTGCCTCTTGGCACACACCCCACCCCCCGTATTCCTCATGTGTTTCTTCTAGAAGTAAGAGAAAGAAAAGTCACGAGCTCTTTTTGGCTCCCAAGGACAATAAAATAAAAACTTGTCGGTCTAGTGCTTCGCCGAGTTCAACAGGAAGAGCGTGGCCTTTAAAATCTCTCTAAACGTCCACTCAGCAGAAACAACATTGCATCTGGAATGAAAATTGATGGGAAGAAACAGGAGAAAAACAAAAAAAAAATTCTCCTTTAGTTTTATGGTGGACAATTTGGAGGTTCTAACTCAGGAGTCAGCAATCTGTGGCTCTGGAGCCGCATGTGGCTCTTTCATCCCTCTGCTGCGGCTCCCTGTCGCCGGTTGGCTCCACAATTGATAGGGCTTTCAGTTACGATAGGTCGACGAAAAAGGACGCTGTGCTAGGAGGAGACTCTATGGTGGGGGAACCGAATTTCCGGTTGGCTCCAGAATTGAACAGGGGGCTTCCGGTTAGGGCCTTTGAGTGTTTAAGGTTGCCGACCCCTGTCCTAACTGAAGCATTTTTGAGCAACAAAAACACCTCCTCCAAAATTAGTTGGACATGCCGTGGACCGGTGTCAATCCATGGGCCTGAGGTTGAGGACCGCTGTCCTAATAGAATAGAATTCTTTATTGGCCAAATGTGATTGGACACACAAGGAATTTGTCTTTGGTGAATGGGCTCTTGGTGTACATAAAGAAAAAATAAAATATATTCATCAAGAATCATAAAATACAACACTTAGTGATAGTCATAGGATACTAATAAGCCATCAAATCATACTAGGAAACAATAAAAACGATATAAGTTGCAAAGGCACAAGCAACATGGATCTAGCCATATAAGTGGGAAGAGATAGGTACTAGGAAGGATGAGAAGAAGAAGAAGAAGAATATGTTGGGTTGAATGTGTTGAACTGAATGGTTTAATGTGTTGCGTTGAATGTATCCTGTTTCCCCGAAAATAAGACCCAACCGGAAAATAAGCCTTAGCATGATTTTTCTGGATGCTCATAATATAAGCCCTACCCCCAAAATATGCCCCAGTTAAGATTGTCAGCCAGATGGATGCATTTAGTACCGTATTCCCCCCCCAAAATAAGACCTAACCAGAAAATAAGCCCTAATGCATCTTTTGGAGCAAAAAATTAATATAAGACAATAATCCACAGCCGTTTGAATTAAAGAGGTTTGGTGGGACTATGTTTGTGCTGTTTACTTTCTAAGGAAGCCTAGGTGAGAACACCTAGCTTGATTTTTACCTGTGCACCTCAACCCACCTCGTGCAACCAGGTGCAACGGAGAGGGTGGGGTGTTAACTAGGGCTTATTGGGGGAAGTAGGGCTTATATTGGATGTGCATGTAAAATCAAGCTAGGGTTTATTTTTTGTATAGGTCTTATTTTCGGAAAAACACAGTACATAAGAAAGAGGTAGCTCTCACCTTACACGCCTTGAGCAGTTTCCAATAGCAGGGTTTCCTCCTCCACTTCCTATAATCCAGAGGGTTGATGGATTGAGTCAGAATCTGGAACGTGGTCTCCTCCGAGGGCAACAATGGTTGATACTCTTCCTCTGCACAAGCGAAAGGAACAAGAAGCTATAAAGACGGTCGGGAATCAAGACGTGTCGTTCTCTCTTGCATTTCTTGGAGAAAAGGCGGATATGAGAATGAGATGAGTTGGCTTGTGTATTGATTGAGGCACTAAGCTAGAACCCCAGGAGCCTGGGAATTCTAGCCCCATTTTAGACACAAAGCCAGCTGGGTGACTTTGGATCCATCCTACACTTTCAACCCTAAAAAGGAAATGACCAGCACTTCTGTCCCTGCCAGGAAACGTGCAGGAACAAGTCCTGGCAATTGCCAAATGTTATGATTGACTTGAAGGCTCGCGAGTTGTAGAGATCACTCCCCTCCGACTGCTGTGGGTAACCCTGGGATACAGCCTTGAGAGAGATAAGTCTAGAATGTGCATCTGTCTTTGGCTGCCATGCTGTTTCGGTTTTTAGGTTTAGGTTTTATTTGATTTGTATACCGCCCTACTCCCGAAGGACTCAGGGCGGTGAACAGCCAACAATAAAATACATAAATACACAAAATTTAAAAACCCGATAAAATCAAATTAAACTTTTTGGCCCAGACAAATTAAAATACCCCAATAATTTAAAAACAGATTAAAATTTACATATTTTACATAATTTAAAAATTTTCATCGGTTTCCCATCCCCCTTGCCTATGGCAACTCGAGAGCAGGCCAAGGATGCTTTGCGAGTTGACAGTGGTATCATCTCAAGAACAACTTACAGGTAGTCCTTGACTTATGACCACAATTGAGCCCCAAAAATTCTGTGGTTAAGTGAGACATTTCTTCAGTGAGTTTTGCCCCATTTTACGACTTTTCTTGCCTCAGTTGTTAAGTGAATCGTTGCAATTCGATAAGTTAGTAACCTGGTTGTTAAGTGACCCTGGCTTTCCCTTTGAGTTTGCTTGTCAAAGGTTCACAAAACTTCTGATCACGTGACCTTGGGACATAGCAACCGTCATAAATGTGAGTCAGTTGCCAAGTGTCTGAATTTTGATCACATGACCATGGGAATGCTGCAAACTTTGAAAAATGGTCGTAAGTCGCTTTTTTTCGGTGCCGTTGTAACTTTGAACGGTCACTAAATGGACTTTTGTAAGTCAAGGACTACTTGTATCGATCAAAGATCAAAAGAGGATGTTGACCGGTGAATCCCATCATCTCCGAGAAGGTTGTTTTGGATGAAGACGATGAAAACTTGGTTAAGGGTGGTTGAGTTATTGACGAGTAATGGATAAAGTCCTATTCCAGTCGCAGGTAAAAACCTGCAAGGACCACAGTAGACTTCTTCAACCAGAATAGGGACTTCATTCCCTGCTTTCTGAAGAACCTCAAGAACAAGGAAACGTCTCAATTTTGTTTGCTGGTGTTCTGATTTAGACTCCCTTAAAAAGCAGGAAGCAGAGTCTTGGTCCTGGCAAAACCTCTTTTATTTACACGACTGTGAATTCCTTTCATTCACAGTCAGCAAGGCCTGTCCAAACAGTTTTTCAAAGGAATATTTATCAACACAGACCTTATCTCGCTTGGCAAGCTGCCACATAACTTGTTTCCAACCGTAGTACAAGGCAAAACTTGGCACAGAGTCTCTCAGAGTCACGGAACAAATGAATCGTTTCCTGCAAAAGCCCCCTCCCCGTTCTTTCCTCTTCTGTTTCCTATGAGAGGGGCCAATCACCACCAAAGTGTGGCTTTACTCCCGAGTTGACCCTGCTTTCTTAGCTGTTCTTGTCTTCTGGCAGCCCTGCGCATGTGCACACTGGGAACAGGCTCCAGCTATTCCTCTGCCTCACTGCTGTTTAGCTCCCTCTCTGCCTCCGATGCAGAGCCTTCATCCGAGCTTTCCCCAGCCCCCAGGACTGGTCCATATTCCACCCCAACCTCCTCACTGTCCGACTCTGCTGGCCGCCAGTGGGACTCAACAGCTGAATTAATTTCGGCTTGAGTAGCTTGAAAAGGGAAGAGCGTTATGGGCTACACAGGTAAAATCAATTCTAAGCCATCTGCGTGCTTAGAAAATGGAGGATGCCTTACCCCCATTCACGTTTGCATTGTCACCTTCTTCAGAATCCGTTGAAAGCTCTGGAGAGAGAGAGAGACAAAGAGGAAATGCGTTTATCATATTCCTATACTGCAAATCTTGAGCTTCAGGTGACAACGTAAAGCAAGATGATAGAGCATCTAAGGAAGTTTGTCTAGCACGAGTTGCTCTGGCATCTCAGGTAGGCAAGATTCATTATTTTCTTTTAACAACCTCATAATCCCTTACAGGGTGGAGTCCGGGCAGCTGAATGGAGCCGAGTGTTTACTGGCCGGATTTTAATTTAATTTAATTAATTAAATTTATATGCCGCCCCTCTCCGAAGACTCCGGATGCCCTTCCTGTCACCAATGCAGAGTTATATTTAGCAGAGATATTCTCAACGTGCCCAGAGAGAGAGAAATATCTGCCTCTACCTAGGATTGCTCCACTTCTAGGCAACCGTACCACTCATCTCAGATAAGCAAGACTGTCCTCTAATTATTTCCTAACAGGTCACTTTGTACCAGAAGTTGCCACCTGTCCTTCTCAATCCAAAACACAAACCCTTCTTGTAGAAGAGATAGACTCCTCATAAGGATGCTGAAGCCAACTCAACATCTTTCTTGTCCTTTGGCCATGTTGATTTGGAGCTCATGGGAACTGGAGTATTGATCATCTGTGGAGTCCACCCATACTCCATCTCTGGCCTATAGGTACACCATGTTGTGGCTCCGACCCCCGAGCCCATCTTATCGGAGGAAGAAGGCTCCGAACATGAAGGAGAGGAGCTGGCCAGGCCTCCCTCTCCAGGCCCCTCCTCTCTGGCAATGCCTCAGGTGTCTGCCAAGGGAGAGGAGATTGGCCAGGAGCCAGGTGTCTCCAATGACAGCGATGACGGTGATAAGTCGTTCCTGGATCCACGCCAACGAAGGCGAGATAAACGTTTGCAGCAGATGAGGAGGCATGCCAGGGATTAAGCTGAGTCACTGGACCACACCCCACAGGCTATATAAGAGAGTGTGGTGGCCATTTAGACTCTGTGACGGACAAAGCTAACTTCTGGCTAGTCACTTTGTACAACGCCTAATCTGCTGAAGGTTTCATGTTTGAGCTGGACTGTTTTGGAAAACTGTGTGTATTCGTTGGTGTTATCTGGTGGAGGGACACTCCCTCTTCTTGTAGTAAAGCACTTGGCAGACGATTATCGTATTGCTGCCAAGTTCCTGATAACGAACATTGTGTGTGCCAAGTAATTCTTTAACCCCCGGCTGGCTGTTTGTGTGTGTGTAGGGACGGGGACAGAACACACCACCCCTCACCTGGTTCTGGATGGCTGGGTGGGGCCAATCGTTCCCTGCGCTGCCTCTTGTGAAGCCAAGTTGAGACCACAACCGTCAAGACGTAGAAGATGTAAAGTCCAAGGAAACCTGTGAATGAGAAACATCACAGCAACTGATGTTGCCTTCTCTGCTCATCAGACCTTCTCCAGTTTGTGTACAATTTATGAATCCACTTCATGTACATTAGATCAACTTCAAATAAATTAAAAAGAACTTGCCTAATGAGTTTCCGTAGCGAAAAAAGAAACCAGCTCTAGTAAAAGCATTGTGGGATGCTAAGGCCCCCTTAGCTTCCTAATACCTACTCAGAGCTTCTGCCAAGGTGACTTGTTCAAAATAGAGCGCCACAAAGGTCAGGAACACAGCGATCATGTAGAAGATGGCATCCCGCAGGAAGGGACGAGAGGCGGCAGTGAAAGGCCTCATGAGGGCTATGCCCCCGGCGACTATCGTGGTGACGAAGATGCCAGCACCTAGTAAAAAAATAAAAAGAGAAGGTGAATAGAACAGAACAGAACAGAACAGAACAGAACAGAGTTGGAAGGGACCTTGTAGGTTTTCTAGTCCAAACCCCCGCTCAGGCAGGAAACCCTACACCACTTCAGACAAATGATTATCCAATCATTTTTTTCTCTTTCTTTCACTCAGCCATATAGACTCTGATGGGATGTGAGAATGGCCTTGAGGGACAGGAGGAAGACCTTCAGCTGAGACAAGGGTCTGATAAGAGAAATCTGGGTCTAAAGGAGGAATGGAAGTGGAGAACGATCTCAGATAATTATATATATATAATTTCTGAAGTTTTTGCGAGTGTTTGTATGTAGGTCTTTGGTTATTCGGGTTTTCTCCTGCGTAAAATTGGAAGTGTCTTGGCGACGTTTCAACAAAGTCTCATTCGTCATCTTCAGGCTGGTGTTTTCGGCTTCGTGCTCCTAGAAGCAGCCTGAAGATGACGAATGAGGCTTCGTCGAAACATTGTCAAGACACTTCCAATTTTATGCGGGAGAAAACCCGAATAACCAAAGACACACACACACACACACACACACACACATACTTTATATATATATATATATAAAGAAAGAAGCAGACATCCTGCGAGCTCCGGAACTTAAAAGTTTAAAATTTTAAAATAATTAAAATTTTATTTTACTAAGCTTTCGTCAGCCATCTGCTGACATCGTCAGAGTATTAAACTACCATTACAGAGATCTCTGCATTTATATGCCATTAATCAATTTGGCCATTGCACATGTAATATATATATATATTGAGAGAGAGAGAGATATATAGATGTATATAACGTGTGTATGTGTGTTATACATGTGTATGGGCAGATACATACTTTCTTTTGAGAGCAGGCAACAGAATTTCAGTTTTAATGTGGGCCAGTGTGCTCCCATTAAAAAAATGACAATAAAGGTTATCTCAAAGAGAATACAGCAAGGAATGTTGTGGCTCTACATTGGATTAAGCTACAGAAGTACTTACTTGACATAGCATAATGGCTTGAACCCAAGCCTTGCACCCTGCCAATCTAGGTCAATGGTAGCTTGTAGTGTAGAAGAACAGAGGGCAGAGTTAAGTGAGTCATCAGCCTAGAATCATGACATTCCCACAAAATGTCTAAGCCTCTTGGATTTCATTGACTCTTATCTACCGCCAATTTAGCACTGAAGTCAGTTGACTAGATTCTTGGGTTCAGCTTTGACCAATACATCTTCTTGACTCCCAATTCTTTGCGCATGACACAGAGTTCAAACACACCTTGGTTTCAGACAGTGCATGATTCCAGTCAATCTCTTTGTCATTCTTACCAAAAAGAGCTCCTATGGCTAATCCAGCCGTCCGGGGATCAGAGAACGCAACCACCGCGCTGAAGATGTCAGGTGCTCCGTTTCCGAAAGCCAGAAAGGTGACACCATGGAGGAAAAGGCTAAGGAAAAAAGATCCACCACCACGGCTGATCGGTTCAGGAGTGGGCTTCGTTCCATTATTCTGCTGGATTGTATATACCCAGGGCCAGCTAAGTCAGGGAGCTGATTTCTTTGCCATAAAGCTGATTAGAATATAGAATAATAAGGTTGGAAGGGACCTTGGCCAGGGGTGGGCTGCTGGGGGTTCGTGAAAACCTCTAGCTAAGATTCTGTGCAGTCCGGAGATTTTTTTCATTGCCATTTCAACATGGTCAACGGAAGAAGGCTGCAACATTTTCACCGACCCTTCTGACCGTACCCCAAATTCTCCACCCAACTCTTATCCTCCGTGGTCCACCCTTTCCCATTTTATGGGTTGTCCTTCTGGGACCTTCTCCTTGTCCCACCCACTTTGTCCCGCATCCCCAAAGGACAGGAGGGAGGGGGCCCTACAAAAGGATACTGCCACATTATGAGCCAGCCGCAGCTTGGTGGAGATGGCCGATAAATTAGGGCAGAAACTAGAAGGAGAAAGAAAAAGAAAGAGAATGATTAAACATTTCTGAAATGCTACTTCCCTTCTTATTGCTTGCCCCTCTCTGCCTTGTCTCCTGCAGATAACTTCTCCGTTAAAGACTAGCAGAATCACAGAGTTGGAAGGGACCTTGGAGGTCCTCCAGTCCATCCTTCTGTTCAAGCAGGAGACTCTATACTATTTCAGACAAATGGCAGTCCAATCTCTTCTTAAAAACCTCCAGGGATGGAGCACCCATAACATATGGATGCAACTCATTCTACTGAAATAGTGATTAATTGTCTTCACTGTTAGGAAGTTTCTCCTTAATTCCAGGTTGCTTCACTCCTTGATGAATTTCCATCTGTTGCTTCTTGTCCTGTCTTTGGGTGCTTTGGAGAATAGTTTGACCCCCTCTTTTTTGGGGCAGCCCCTCAAATATTGGAACACCGCTATCATGCCACCCCTAATCCTTCTTTTCACGAAACTACACATACCCAATTCCTCCATATGTATTTAGACCAGGGGTCTGCAACCTTAAACACTCAAAGAGCCATTTGGACCCGTTTCCCACAGAAAAGAAAACACCGGGAGCCACAAAACCCTTCCCGTGCCTGACTATTTCTTGAGCGGCCACAAAACTAGCATATGTCGTTGAATTAAACGTTCTGTTTTCTTCTGAAACTTTTCTTTTCTTGGATTTATCTGTGGTTATTGAAAAGCTGTTTTCTTCTGAAATTTTTCGTTGCACATTGGCGATTGTGACACATATTTTGAGCGACAGGGGGTCGCAGCAGAGGGGTGAAAGAGCCACATGCGGCTCCAGAGCTGCAGGTTGCTGACCCCTGATTTAGACGACATGTTTTTCTACTATCTTCATATGTTTTTAAGTCTGTGGCTTCACTCCACAGACAAGAACGGATCTTTAAGATAAACTCAGCATAAACCCAAGGACTTTAGAGGTTTCAATCTGCTCTTTTGTTTGTGTTGCAGTCAGATTTGTGGTCACCCCGAGTCACCTTGTAGAGGAATGGCAGCATAACAATTTAATTAATAATTAATAATAATAAATAAACACGTACCCTGTTTCCCCCAAAATAAGACATCCCCTGATAATAAGCCCAATCGGCAATAAGGCCAAGCTCTAATTTCAGGGTTCCAAAAAATATACGACAGGGTCTTATTTTCGGGAAAACACTATATGCATGGTCTATCAGATCTCATGTGTTTTGTCAAGGTCCCTAGGAGAACATGCATGATATCTGTTCTTCAACCCCAATCCATCTTTTGCACATGGGAGCAGAAAACAGCTTCTGTGCCAGAAGGTCCTATCTGAAGGATAGTCCATTTCTGACCTATGGCTCTGAAAGTGGGATCTGGATTCTGGATGTTCTACTTTTTTTTTTTAATTTGATTTATATGTCGCCCTTCTCCGGAGACTCAGGGCGGCTTACAATGTGCTAAGCAATAGCCTTCATACTTTTTGTATATTTATACAAAGTCAGCTTATTGCCCCCACAAACCGGGTCCTCAATTTACCCACCTTAGAAAGGATGGAAGGCTGAGTCGACCTTGAGCCTGGTAAGAATTGAACTTGCAGTAATTGCAGGCAGCTGGATGTTAAATGCTGCCTTTAGGAGGCATTAGCCTCCTACGCCACTCAGGCTCCTATTCCTACTCCTACTCACAATTTCTCAGCCGTGACTCCAAGGATAACGAAGAGGTAGAGAAGCCAGAGGACCTACAAGAAACCAAAGAAAAGGGCATTCGCTGTGAAAGGAGGAGGAGGAAGACACCATCCCAACCTTCCCAACCAGGCATGTCCTGCCCCAGATGGGTTGGGACTACAACTCCCAAGATTCCAAGACAGCAAGACCAAAGTCCATAGCCATATGTATCACACGGCTGGAAGTGATAGTTCTTCTAGTCCCATGATAGCAAACCTATGGCATGCGTGCCACAGGTGGCATGCGGAGCTATATTGGTGGGCCTGCGAGCTCCTAGAAAGCATCTGGAGCCTGGGGAGGGCAAAAAAACGGGCCTACGGGGCCCACCATGCCATCGTGTGGCAAAAGCAGGGGGAGTGCAGGGGGGGGTCGTGCATGCAGCAGGGCATGAGGGCGGCACTGAATTATGGATATGGGCACGCATGCACACAATCCCCCCCCCGCGCTCTCCCTGCTTTTGGCACGCAACAGCAAAAAGGTTAGCCATCATTGACCTATCTGGTGCAGTCCATTGGGCTTGAACCAGAGGTGGTATTCAGCCAGTTTGAACCGGTTTGCCCGAACCGGCAGCAGAAATCGCAGGTTAAAAAGACCCAAACTTTCTGAGGCAATTTTTAAAAATCAGGAAGGAGTGGGGGGGAAAAAAACCATCCAAGGAGAAAAATAGGAGACGTCTCCTTTCTCCCAGGGAGCCTTACATAGAGGGTTATGGCCAAAGGTTGCAGAGCCGCTGGGAAGACGCAGAAAACTCCGTTGAGGTAGTTGAGGAAGCCGCTGTCCATCTTGCAGTTCGGGTTATGCCGGATGAAGGAACAACGGACCGATCGATTCTGTTTTCCCACGTCTCTGCACTAGAGTTGGAGACAGAAAGTGAGAAAGCAGAATTGACAGAAGAGATTCGGTGAGAACAGACTGGTCATCATTGCCTGTCAGCCGCCAACCTTTTTAAAAAAAAAATTTTTAAATTTTCTTTTAATACAAACATTTTATCTTTCATTAAAAAAACAGTGTGTCGTCTTGAGTACAAATTTTTTGTGCAATAACCATTAAAATTTACAACCATGTTTATTATTTATATCTATTCTTGGATTAATGTTAATACATAACATATCTATTACTTTGTAATACATTTTCGATATTTCACTCCTCTGCTTTTATTTCTAATTTTCATATTTATTCTCTAACCATTGATAAAGTAACCCCCTTTTACTATAATAGTCAGATTCTTCCTTTCCTTTAATTGCAAGTGTTAACCTATTCATTTCTGCACATTCTAATATTTTCTTAATCACATCTTCATCCGTAGGGCTCTCTTCACTTTTCCAATTTTGTGCAAATACAATTCTAGCTGCTGTTATTACATGAATAATCAAATAGACATTTTCTTTACTATAGGTTTCTGGTAAAATCCCCAACAAGAATAATACGAATTTTTGCCCAATATTTTTTTGCTTCTACACACGTCCACCACATATGATAATATGACCCTGGTATCTGATGGCATTTCCAACATCTAGCTGATTTGTCTTTGCTAATCAGTGGCAAGTGTCAGCTGCCAACTTATGCTTGCTTGTGCTTCCCTGTTATGTGGTGACAGGCTGCCATGAACTGTGGGGTGGAGGAATGAAGGGGGAATGCTTGGGAAATAGAAAGTAGAAACTGTACTTTCTCAAGAAGCTGCCTCAAGGTGGAAGAAAGAGGGAGCTGCATACCAAACTACGCTTGGACTGAAAACATCTTAGGAAAACATCTTGCCTAAACCTAATTGGTTGCAAAGGGGCGAGCAATGAGAGACAGTTAAGTACAAAATAGTAGAATTTAGGGATTTGGACGCGCGATTCTCCGTTCCGGCTTTGCAATACTGCAAAACACTTCACTTCTAATAAAAGTCTATCTTTCTCAGCAAATGGAGCCAAGGACTAAATCGTTGGCTCTATTCTATTTAAAGATTTAAGGAGTGGCAGGTATTGTTTACATTTTTAAACACCCTTCCCTCCTTTATTAATATGTAGTCAGCCGTAACACATAGTCTTTTGTTCTTGGTAAAACAAAATCAAGGTTAGGAGTCAAAAGCATTAGATCTTCTGTTGGTCCTTTTTTTTCAGTTCCAGCCAGTCTCTCTCTCAATCCTTTGCTCATCTTCTTTTAATGACCCCATAATCCCTTGCGGGGTTGAGTCTGGGTAACCGAATGAAGCCAAGTGTTTACTGGCCGGATGTCCTTCCTGTCGCCAATACGGAGTTTTAGTCAGCAGATATAATCTCATTGTGCCCAGAGAGAGAGAGAGATATCTGCCTCTACCTAGGATTGAACTCGCAGCCTCCTGAGTGGGAGGCGAGAGCTCCACCTCTAGGCCACCGCACCACTCATCTCTCAAGCCTCTCATGAAAAGATGAAAGGGAGGCTCAAGGAGGACCCATCGATAATGGTCAGCTGGTAAACCCAACCAACATCTGACCTCTCCTGCATGTGGATCCTTCCTCACCAATGATTCCCAGAAGTTGCATCACTTCCAGGTCATGTCACCTATTATGAAGCGGGTGGCTTAGATTCTCCACCATCTGAAGCTTCTAAGCTCTACTCAAGTTGTAGGACAAAGAAAACACTTCCTGATTATCCCAGAAGAAGCTGGTTATAGTCAAGAAGATCAAGGGGACAAATCCAAAGCACCCGAAGGCCAGACAAGGAAGAATGGATGGAAACTGATTGAGGAGAGATTCAACCTAGAAATAAGGAGGAATTTTCTGACAGGGAGAACAATCAACCCATGGAACAGAAGTTGCCTTCGGAAGTTGTGGGAGCTTCATCCCTGGAAGCTTTCAAGAAGAGGCTGTGCTGTCATCTATCAGAAATGGAGTAGGGTCTCCTGCTTGAGCAGGGGGTCGGACTAGATGACCTACACGATCCCTTTCCAACTCTGTTAATTATGACGCACATCAGGATATTCTAGAAAAGGGGTGTTCAAGCTCCAAACCAGGGGTGAAATCCAGCAGGTTCTGGCGAACCGGTAGCGGAAATTTTGAGTAGTTCGGAGAACCGGCAAATACCACCTTTGGCTGGCCCCGGAGTGGGGTGGGAATGGGGATTTTGTAGTATCCTTCCCCTGGAGTGGGATGGGAATGGAGATTTTGCAATATCCTTCCCCCAGGAGTGGGGAGGGAATGGGGATTTTGCAATATCCTTCCCCTGGAGTGGGGAGGGAATGGGGATTTTGCAATATTCTTCCCCTGGAGTCGGGTGGGAATGGAGATTTTGCAGTATCCTTCCCCTGGAGTGGGGAGGGAATGGGGATTTTGCAGTATCCTTCCCCTGTAGTGGGGAGGGAATGGGGATTTTGCAGTATCCTTCCCCTGTAGTGGGGAGGGAATGGGGATTTTGCAGTATTCTTCCCCTGCCACGCCCACCAAGCCACACCATATCCACACCAAGCCACGCCCACAGGACCGGTAGTAAAAAAATTTGAATTCCACCCCTGCTCCAAATCTTTCTCACAACGCTTGTAAAGACGCATAGGGCTCGGTCGCACTGTTGCGGCTGCCATTTTAACAGATTAACAGATCCCTCTCACAGCTGCTACTACTATTGAGCGAGGTACCACCTATACGGTACCTGTGCATTTTGGTTTTTCTTGCCTAAATGTAGGTTGACCTTAGCCCCAATAGAATCCAAAAGAAGAAAGAAGCATGTTTCCAACTTTTGGGCCACTTACGTCCACATCTGAGGTGGAGCTCTGGATTCCAGAATTTCCATGATGACCATCTGTTGAAAAGGATGCTGGGAACTTGGCGTTCCATCGTCCAACAGAAGGTCCCACCGCTTCCGTCTTCCCGACCAGCAGGAAGGCCACACAGAGAATCCAGAGAGTTGGCATAAGGCCCAGCCCAAAAAATTGCCTTGTCATTCTTTGAGACCGCCGTCTAGAGGGCAAGGATGGGCAAGTCACGGCATCGGGAGCGGCGATATCAAAAGAGGAGGAGGAGGCGGGAAGAGAGCCAACCACCAGGAAGTTTCGCAACGTCCAGCCGTTGATGGAAATGGAGAAGTGAGCTCAGCAGAAAGTTGGAGAAGAAGTTACCACGACATCCCCTCTGTAGGGAGAAAAGGGAGAATCAAACAGAATATAGAATAACAGAGTTGGAAGGAAGGGACCTTGGAGGTCTTCTAGTCCAACCTCTACTCAGGCAGGAAATCCTATACCATTTCAGACAAATGGTTTATCCAATCCAGTGTTGGAGCATTTACAACTTCTGGAGGCAAGTTGTTCCCCTGGTTAATTGTGGAAGCCAAAGGAAGTCCAGGCTGGCAGAAATGTAAAATGCAATCCATTAAAAAAAAATACATGACAATGCAAACAATTAAAATATAATAATCATAATCATAATCTTAAGAAGGTACTTGGTTGATACCTAGGACGCTGGCAGCAACCCGTATCAACCATTATATATAATAATAATAACAATAATAATAATAATAACAACAACAACAACAACAATAATAATAATAATAATAATAATAATTAAAAAAAAAACAATAAACCCGTATCAACCATTAGCACCATTCAGTGGTATTTGTGATGCATTTTTGAATGTTCAGTTGACTGAGTTTCATGTTTAATGAATAAAGTGTATATAATAATAATAATAATAATAATAATAATAATAATAATAATAGTAGAATTTTGGAAAAAGAAATCGTGTGTTGTCCCGATTGTAATTGGTGCCCTTGGAGCAATACCCAAAGGGCTACCCCGCTATTTAGAAATTCTAAATTTGCCAGACTTGAACATAATTACAACAACATAATTACATAGAGCTTGGAGATTCTCGGTCAATCCAGGTCCCGGTTGTCCCAAAGGTGCTTTTTTTGAAAGGCAACTGCCGCGTGATGGCTCAGTGGTTAAAGACGCCTGTGTTCGAGACCCGAGCTCCAGACAACGGGTTGAGCTCCTGTTACTTGCTCCACCTCCTGCCCACTTAGCAGTTCGAAAGCATGCAACTGTGAGTAGATAAATAGGTACCACTTCAGTGGGAAGGTAATAGCATTCCGTGAGCCTTTGGCATATAGCCACGCTATAGCCACGTGACCGTGGAAATTGTCTTCAAGCAACAGACACCCTGGGCCAAAAAATGTGGCTGAGCACCACGCCCTAAAAGTCAGACATGACTGACAGAGAAAAGTTTACCTGCTACATTACGAGTCTCTCATTGAAGCCTGCAAAACTTTTCCCACATTCTGCAGATTTTGAATGTATGTACAGTTTTCTGCCTGTTGTTAGTGAAGGAAAAGAAAACTGCACAAAACTGGAACGGGTGTAAGAAAAACAAGCTTGCAGTGACTATTTTAACACGTCTCTTGTTTTGCGGATATAAAAATAGTAAAATGCCTAGGGGGATTCCTTCACTCTCACCTACTTTGGAAGGGCCCAATAATTTTTTTTATTATTATTATTAAAGTGAATAATGATTGCGAGCTGCTTGCTAAACCAGCCAGACATGTTCTGAATGCCTCCGAAGAAACGAAAATGTTTCCTGGCTTTCTGGATTTGCTTAATCAACCAGTTTATTTCCAGGTTAATTCCTGTTTCAAAACAGGAACTGCCGGGCGAAGGTGTCATATCAGTTGCCCCTGAAGTTCATTCATAAATCTATCATCTCTTCCTTCCCTTTTCCCTTTTACACAATCCTTTGAAGGCACCAGCTTTCAAAAGCTCTTCATCGAAGAGAGAATCCAGAATCTCTTGCCTGATTGCTCATGAATCCAGCGATCGAGCGATTGAATCCAGACGGGCTTTGATCTACGCCCCCCCCCCACCCCAGTTCAAGCCCATCGCTGGGGCTGCCAGGGGAAATTTTCTAAGGCTGATTCCTAAATAATGTCCTTCCCTGGGCACGAGGGATGGAGAGTGTGACAGCGACAAACCGAATAATACGCTTGCAGAGTGCAGAAGTGAAATGCAAAGAGGGACCATTAGTTTAATGGATTCTTGGGGGGGATGTTTATAATTCAATTCAGGGGCTATAATTCTATTAAGAAGCAAAGTCTAAAGGCAGCTAAAGACAGAGGTATGCAGGGGCTAGCTTGGGTGAGTTTTTGGATGGGTGGGTGGGTGGGCTATCTGAGAATTTATACAGCAGTGGCCGAAATGGTGGAAACCTTTTGGGAAAAATGTATTTTCTAAAACTAGCTAATAACACCACTTTTTTTTGGAGTAGTGCCATAAAATTATATGTCAATGGAAAGATAATTGAATCAATAATGTAATGCAATAACTTTTATGAAGGATTTGCTATTAGAATAGCTGCTACAGTATAAAGAAGAAAAGTGAAACACGTAGAAAAAAAACGAGATATGCAAAAATGATCACCCTAGAAAAAATGAGATATGCAAAAATCGTCACCATGTCAGTTAATCCTTAGTTGGGTAACCTTTAGCATGAGTGACGGCCTTACAACGTCTTCCCATGGAGTGAACCAAATCTTTTAGTTCTGCAGCTGTTATCATGTGAAACCAAGATTGAATGATGGCTTCTATTAACTGGGTTTTATTGCTGGGTCGCTTCTGACTAACAAGTTTTTTTAGTCAGCTCCATAGATTTTTCAATTGGGTTAAAGTCTGGGCTATTCCCAGGCCATTCCAGCAGTGGAATAGGATTATCTTGAAATGCCAAAAAAAAAAAAGCAGCGTTATTAGCCATCAAACCTCAAAAATACACTTTTCCCAAAAGGTTCCCACAATTTTGGCCACTACTGTATATCCACAAAATATATGCCAAGCTTAGTTGCCTGACTAACATACAATGGAGTTTATTTATTTATAACCTGCCTTTATTATTTTTACAAGTAACTCAAGGTGGCGAACATATCCGACACTCCTTCCTCCTCCTATTATTTGCCCCATAATAAGAACCCTGTGAGGTGGATTGGGCTGAGAGAGAAGGACTAGCTAAGGTCACCCATCCGGCTTTCATGGCTCAAGCAGGACTTGAACTCACTACCTCTTGCTTTTTAGCCCGATGCCTTAACCGCTAGACCAAACTGGCTCTCAAACTGCTAAGTTCATGCAAACTAGTTGGAAGGGACCATGGAGGTCTTCTAGTCCAACCACCTGCATAGGCAGGAAACCCTACACCACTTCAGACAAATGGTTATCCAACCTCTTCTTAAAAACTTCCAGTGTTGGAGCATTCACAACTTCTGGTGGCAAGTTGTTCCACTGATGAATTATTCTCACTGTCAGGAAATTTCTCCTTAGTTCTAAATTGCTTCTCTCCTGGATTAGATTCCACCCATTGCTTCCTGTCCTGCCTTCAGGTGCTTTGGAGAATAGCTTGACTCCCTCTTCTTTGGGGCAGCCCCTGAGATATTGGAAGACTGCTATCATGTCTCCCCTAGTCCTGGTTTTCATTAAACTACACATACCCAATTCCAGCAACCGTTCTTTATATCTTTTAGCCTCCAGTCCCCTAATCCTCTTCGTTGCTCTTCTCGGCACTCTTTCTAGAGTCTCCATATGTTTAAGCGATGCCAAGGTGGCACGAATGTCCAAGGCCCTTTGGTCATTGTCCTTCAGCATCCATCTTAGCCTGCCTCCTTCTCCTTTCATCCTCACAACAACACCCCCCCTTTAAGGTAGGCCTTGAAAGAAGCTGACTGCCCTCTCTGCCAAGTTGCCTTTGGACCTTGTGGGAGCTTCATCCCAGGAGACTTTTGAGAAGAGACTGGACTGGCCATTTGTCGGAAATGATGTAGGGGGGATGGACTAGATGACCTACAAGGTCCCTCCCAACTCTGTGAATCTAAAATCCAGCAAACGTGCAGCCCAGGGATACCGTCGGGATTTGAACTCGGCTCCCCCACGCGTAAAGAAGCCTCTAAGAAGCGAATTTCGACGGAGTGGGGGAGAAAAAAAAACCCCCAAACCCCGCGCGTTCTCCGGTCCTCGCGATCGGCCCATCATCACGCCACCCGCGACCGCGAGCCTATAAACAACCTTTCCTCCAGATGTGGAGCCAGCCTACCCCCTTTCTCCTTTCTTTCTTTCCCGGTCCGGAGTCCAATCCAAGGGGAGATCGCCTCCGCTTTCTTTTCCTCCCTCCCTCCTTCCCTCTCTCTCTCTCTCTCTCTCTCTCTCTCTCTCTCTCTCTCTCCCTCTCTTCTTCCAAGGGGAGATCGCCTCCGCTTTCTTTTCCTCTCTCTCTCTCCCTCTCTTCTGCCCCCTCTCTCTCCCTCTTCTTCTCTCTCTCTCTCTCCCTCTCTCTCTCTTCTCTCTCTCTCTCTCTCTCCCTCCCTCTCTTCTTCCAAGGGGAGATCGCCTCCGCTTTCTTTTCCTCTCTCTCCCTCTCTTCTCCCCCCTCTCTCTCCCTCTTCTTCTCTCTCTCTCTCTCTCCCTCTCTCTCTCTTCTCTCTCTCTCTCTCCCTCTCTTCTTCCCTCTCTCTCTCTCTCTCCTTCTCTCTCTCTCTCCTTCTCTCCTTCCCTCTCTCTCTCTCTCTCTCTCTCTCCCTCTCTTCTTCCAAGGGGAGATCGCCTCCGCTTTCTTTTCCTCTCTCTCTCTCTCTCTCCCTCTCTTCTTCCCCCCCTCTCTCTCCCCCTCTCTTCTTCCCTCTTTCTCTCTCTCCCTCCCTCTCTTCTTCCCTCTCTCTCTCTCCCTCTCTTCTTCCCCCCCTCTCTCTCCCTCTCTTCTTCTCTCTCTCTCTCTCTTTCTCTCTCTCCCTCCCTCTCTCTCTCTCCCTCCCTGCCGGCCAAGCCTCACCTGCCCGACTTCACCTGGCGTCCGCAGCAGTTTAACTGGAACCTGGCGCCACCGGGGACGTTTTAGCCGTGCGCCCCGGTTCTCTTTTTCTATAGCCGGAGCCAGACGAGGCACAACAACTCCGCCTTCTGTCACCGCCCCAGCTGTGGGCTTAAAGAGACAACAACGCCTGGCTTGCCGACATCACGCAAAGCTCGGCAGCTCCACGCGGGTGTCCCCTCCACGCGCACCCGGTGCCTTAGCTGGTTCCCACGCGCCTCCCTTTGCGCTTTTTGCAAAGAAAAAAAAAGAGAGAGAGAGATTTGCAGTCTGGATGCACTCCGGGAAAGCTTGGTTCTCACGCTCTTTTTCCTGTTTTTTTTTTTTTTTTTGCAAAGCCCCCTTTGACCTGGTCTAATCCCAGGAAAAGAGTGGGTGGGGGGGGGTGGCTAGATAAGGCAAAAGAGTTCAGGCAGGACAGGGAGGTTGAGAAGGATGGACTGGTTTGACTCTTTGAAGGTCTGCTCCAAATGTTTGTTTTTGTTTTTGTTTTTAAAAAGAAACAAATATTCCTTCTTTCCCAGTTTTGAAGCAAAGAATGGCCCAAGTATGTCTTCAAAGAAAATTTCTTCCTTAGGTTCCTGTCTCTGCTTCTCCTACGAGCTGTTCAGGCTCCTATTTACAGGCGAGAAAACTTAGATTAAATTTAGACCAATCTTAACCACTCAAAGGAGCCATTTGGATCCATTTCCCGCAGAAAAGAAAACACCGGGAGCCACAAAACCCATTCCCATGCCTGACTATTTCTTGAGCGGCCACAAAACTAGCAAATGGAGTTGAATTAAAATGTTCTGTTTTCTTCTGAAACTTTTCTTTTCTTGGATTTACCGGGGGTTGAAAAGCTCAATAAATCGCGTGCCGGCGGGTGTCGCACATTGGTGGTTGTGATGCATATTTTGAGTGACAGGGAGACTCAACAGAGGGGTGAAAGAACCACACGCGGCTCCAGAGACGCAGGTTGCTGATCGCTGGCTTAGACTAAAGGTAAAGGTTCCCCTCGCACATACGTGCTAGTTGTTCCCGACTCTAGGGGGCGGTGCTCATCTCTGTTTCAAAGCCGAAGAGCCAGCGCTGTCCGAAGACGTGGATACTGATTCATTCAAGATACTGCTTATAAGCGCCATGTGCTTAGAGCTCAAAGTATTGTTAGAGACCCCACTCCCCCATCCCATGTTCTGTTCCCTTTGCTCCCCTCTGGGAGGAGATTTCGAAGTATTTCCACCAGGACTTTCCGCAAAAGTTCTGTAAAAGTTAGTTAGTTTACTTTATTGTCATCGCACCTCATTCAATGAAATTCAATGCCATCTTCAGTGTAAAGCTAAAGGTTCCCCTCACACATATGTGCTGGCCGTTCCCGACTCTAGGGGGCAGTGCTCATCTCCGTTTCAAAGCCGAAGAGCCAGCGCTGTCCGAAGACGTCACTGTGGTCATGTGGCCGGCATAACTCAACGCCAAAGGCGCACGGAACGCTGTTCCCTTCCCACCACAAGTAATCCCTATTTTTCCACTTGCATTTTTTTTAACGTGCTTTCGAACTGCTAGGTTGGCAGAAGCTGGGGCAAGTCACGGGAGCTCACCCCGCTACGTGGCACTCAGGATTCGAACCGCTGAACTGCCGACCTTTCGATCGACAAGCTCAGCGTCTTAGCCACTGAGCCACCGCGTCCCTATCTTCAGTGTACATGATACATAAAAAAATAAAACAAAAACACCCCTCCTTCACATTCTATACAATTTAATTGTATTGAATCCCGATTTATTGTAAAGGTTAGGGTTTGCAGGAAACTCTAGGGCAGGGTGTTTTCCGAACTTGGCAACCTGACAGCCCTGTGGATGCCAACTCCCAGAATTCCCCAGCCAGCCACAACTGATGCTTTCAGATGTGTGGACTTCAATTCCCAGAAACCCCACCTCTGAAAGTTGCCAAGGTTGAGAAAACACCTGTTGTAGAAGGTTTATAGCTTAGATTATTTATAGGTAATAATGATAATTGCGATAGATAGGAGTCCAAAGATCACTCCACTCTTCTAGGCTATTCCCCCGCCTTCCAAATGTATTATTTATTTATATCTTGCCTTTTACTCTTTTTATAAATAAGGTGGCGAATGTATCGGACATGCTTACCTCCACTTGTTTTCCCACCAACAACAACCCCGTGAGAAGAGGGTTAGAAAGAGAGGAAGAAGAGAGGAATGGGGAAGAGAAGAGGAAGTAGAAAAGGGAAGGAGAGGAGGAATGAGGAAAATAGAAAGAGATAGAAGAAGGAAGAGGAAGAGGAAAGGTTGTGGTAAAATAAAGGAGAGGAAATGGTAAAAGTGCAGGCCCGAACAATTAACAAATGAAAGTAAAAAAGATAAGATGAATGAATAATGATTAATGATGGATAAGAGACTGTACATTTAAATATGTTGATGAAAAATAAGAGCCTTGGTAGTACAGTGGTCTAAGGCACCCTGTTATTAAGCTGGTTATTAAGACCAGCTGCCTGCAATTACTGCAGGTTCGAATCTCGCCAAGGCTCAAGGTTGACTCAGCCTTCCATCCTTTCTAAGGTAGGTAAATTGAGGACCCAGTTTGTGGGGGGCAATAAGCTGACTTTGTATAAATATACAAAAGGATGAAGGCTATTGCTTAACACATTGTAAGCCGCCCTGAGTCTCTGGAGAAGGGCGGCATATAAATCAAATTAAAAAATAAAATAAAATAAATAAAAATAAAAAACTTTATATATAAATATTAAAAAAAACAACAACCCTGTGAGGTTGTTGGTAAAAACCCTGAGAGAGAGGGACTGCCCCAAAGTTACCCAGCTGGCTTTCATGGTTAAGACGGAACTAGAATTCCCAATCTCCTGGGGATTGGCCCAAAGTCACCCACCAATTTTTCATGGCTAAGGCGGGACTTGAACTCACGATCTTCTGCTTTCTAGGCCGGCGCTATAACCGGTTCAGATATCGTATCATTATCATCACTAGTCCCACTAGTGAGGCCTGAAAGTTAGCTGTGTGATTTGGATCCCTCTGTTAATGCAGCCTAGGATTGTATTGGCTTTTTTGGCAATACGGGCTCACATTTAAATGATTAAACAATGATTAAACATTTAAACAATTACTACCAACCTGCCTTCCACGGAGGACCTGTATACTGCACGAGTCAAAAAGAGGGCTGGGAAAATATCTACAGACCCCTCGCATCCTGGACATCAACGGTTTCAACTCCTACCCTCAAAACGACGCTATAGAGCACCGCACACCAGAACAACGAGACACAAGGAGAGTTTTTTCCCCGAACGCCATCACTCTGCTCAACAAATAATTCCCTCAACACTGTCAAACTATTCACTAAGTCTGCATTACTATTAATCTTCTCATCGGAACTAAGGAGAAATTTCCTGATAATGAGAACAATTAACCAGCGGAACAACTTGCCACCAGAAATTGAGGGTGCTCCATCACTGGAGGTTTTGAAGAAGAGCGCTTTGTCTGGAATGGGATAGGGTCTTGTGATCAAGTGGGGGGTTGGACTAGAAGACCTCCAAGGTCCCTTCCAACTCTGTCATTCTGTATTTTGGTTTTGCTCTCTGTCCTTCTCTCTCTCTCTAGGATAAAAGCTCTTCGGGCAGACTCCACCGTATTACCTGGCCGGGGATATAAAAGTCTTAAGAGCTTAAAAAAGGTCAGCGTTGAACCTGATTTAATTGCTCTTCCAGGATCACATGCTACAGGTTAAGAGAGCCACTAAACTCAGACACCCGGGCACTGAGTTCACGCCCAACTGTCCATTACTGTACAGTTAGAGGAGAAAAAAAAATACACTGTTTTCTTTCTTTTTGCTGAAACTGGACAAAGTCTGAAAGCCTCAGCCCCAAACAAGTATTCCTTGTTTAGGGACTGCCTTTTTTTAAAAAAAAAAAATTTTTTTTTTAAATTTGATTTATATGCCGCCCTTCTCCGGAGACTCAGGGCGGCTTACAATGCGTTAAGCAATAGCCTTCATCCTTTTGTATATTTTATACAAAGTCAGCTTATTGCCCCCACAAACCGGGTCCTCATTTCACCTACCTTAGAAAGGATGGAAGGCTGAGTCAACCTTGAGCCTTGGCGAGATTCGAACCAGCAGAAATTGCAGGCAGCTGTGTTAATGACAGGGTGCACTAAACCCCTGTACTATCAAGGCCTTAATTCACAGCTATAGACAGTCCTCAACTTACAACCATAACTGAGCCCAGAATTACAGGCATAAGTCACCCCGGTGATTAAGCTGATTGTCATGTGATTGTCCAGATTTTATGATTATGATTATGATTATTATTTTTTGCAGCAGTGGCAATCATTAACTGAAATCCTTGGCCACGATGAGCAATTTAAAGAGCGGCAAAAGTGCTGTCGAAGTGCTGCCAGCTGCCTGCAATTACTGCAAGTTCAAATCTCACCAGGCTCAAGGTTGACTCAGCCTTCCATCCTTTCGAGGTAGGTAAATTGAGGACCCAGTTTGTGGGGGCAATAAGCTGACTTTGTGTACAAAAGAACACCGCTTAGGGGGCCCGAAAGCCCTACTAAGCAGGTATGTACAAAAATATGAAGGCTATTGCTTAACACATTGATTTATAAGCCGCCCTGAGTCTCCGGAGAAGGGCGGCATATAAATCAAACCAATAAATAAATAAAATAATTTTTTTTTTGATGGACATGGGAAGAAAACATGGCCGAAAACATTATGAATTGTGGTCATGTGACCATGGGATGCTGCATAGGGTGGTTTTCTTGGCTGTGGGGTTGACTTCTTTGGGGAAGATTTTTTTGTTTCAACAACCCACTCTAGGTTATTAGCTATGGGATCTCCAGTTGGTCTCCCATCCAAGACTTAAAGACAAATAGAAGAGAATGTTGGTAGCTCAGGGTTGAACGGTGGGGTCCTTGGTGCTCTCTGAGATTGGTGGAATTTTTGCAGACGTTTCATTACCTAACTAGTTAACATTATCAGTGCTAGAAAGAAGGGGCCTTTTTGGTGCCTGGGGAAGAAAACGCGTGACTCCGTGGTCAGGAAAAATGCTGCCCA